CACAAAAATGGGCTGTTGGAGTGGCTCAAGCATTAAGAGCACCTGCCTAGCAAGCATCCTGCACTGAGTTCAAACCCCAGTGCTGCCAAAAAAAGATGCCCAGTGGCATGAATGGGGTAGGGAATAAAGGCAGCAAATCCCAGATCACAAGCTACATACCCTGAGAGGTGCCACTGATAAATGTGTGAGTCTTTAGCCTAGGTTTGCAACAGGTGAGTGAGCATTGTTCCAGCACGAATGTTCTTGACATCTTGCTTATGCTAGTGAATAAGAGGAGCGTGGAATGTCAAAGATACATGTTGTTTGAATTGCCACTCACTTGTCAATGAGCTGAGTAACTCTTCTGAATAGTTTTCCAATATTCAATATTAAAAGAATATTCCTCCACACACCACACCCTGTTCACAATATAATGGCTACAGACAATACACATTTGTAAATTTATCTACAATCCCTATATTTCTTTCTTAAACCTGAACAATCAACAAAACAATTAATTGAGCCCTGGTGTGTGGTTCTTGCCAATTTCTATGGTGTTCACACAGATCCACTGAACTTGGAGTTAGGAAGAGAGCAGTGTGTCATTTTATAGCATGGCCCCCATGCGGACATAATAGAGGCAAAGAACTTCAAAAGTAGGAAATAACAATTTTTGAGTATTACCTTTGTTTTTTGATATAATCATTTTACCTGTAAGTTTATAAAATATATTTTTTCATTTTTATTAGCATATATTCATTGTACAGAGGAGATTCATTATGACAATTCTGAATAACAATTTATTTTTAAATAATGTTTGTGCTTCAAAACTGAATTCTGATGACTGTTTCAATGAGTCAGTATGAATGGCAGCAGTGGCCACTGTTACATTCATCTCAAAGCAGAGGTGGCTTTTTCTAAACCTCCTGCCATCAGGACATCTTTTCTCCAACTCACTCACAAGTGCTGTGTGCCAGTGCTGCCTCTGCTCGATGGGGAGCCTTCCCAGCTGCCCTGAGCACAGATGGAAATGAGAAGTAGCTACAAGTCTGGGCGATCCTATTAGATTACCTAGGCTTTGAACAATGGAAAATCATGGACCGGTCCTAGTGTCTGGAGTCAGCAGAGACAGGAATAGGTGGCACCCTGCAACTCAGGGAACATGACTAGGTAAGAGAACCAAAAGCAATCATTTGAAAACTTACACAGGATCTAGTCAGTCTCCAATGATCACAGGATGGGCAGTGACCAGATGGACAAAAATTATCACCTGGAAAAGTCTAGGAGTTGAGGATACCATGCTCAGGACACTGACTTTTCCTCTGCCAGGTGACAGCTCTAAGACTAAGCCTTTGCTGAGCATTACTGGACAGAAATCACTAAACTATTGGATCAAACAAGATCTTAAAATGGCAAGCCTAAACATTCACTCCTTCCCCCCACTAGCAGTAAGAGGGTGATCAGGAGATCAGATTTTAGAAAGTTGTATTTCCCCTCTTTTCAGCTATGGTATGATTGGCTGGCCTGACTTATTCACCTGCAAAGAGATGCAGCAGGATTTCACAGGTGTGAAACTCCTTCCTACAAGGACTTGTTCAGGAAAGTAACCATAGGGAAAAAGAAATCAAATCAAAATAAGCAAATGCAATGTGTAATGGCACATTTGCAGCCCATGAATTACTCGTCCCCACAGAACCAGAGCTGGACCACACATTAGCGTGGGTCTCCTTCTTGTACTGACCAGAGGAAGTCCCTCCAGAGGCCATCCTGGAAACGTTCCCTGGATTCCCAACTTCCTCTTGGGAAGAAGCAGGAGCTGAAGTTTCCTCACTCTCATTGGCAAGACCACCCCTGTGGTGGGGATGGAGACCAGGACATGACAGACTAAAACAGAGAGGAAACAGATTCTTCCAGCCCTGTATTCTCTCCATCCCCAAAGCAAAGGTCATAGTTAGAAATTACACATTTGGTGTAGATGTGGGCCATCTGTTTGGGTAAACAGCCTGTGAACAGGAGTGCTGAGGGAGTCAGGTGACCTGTAGCAAGGGCAAGGAGCTAATCACTTCCCTACTTGTCCTCACCCTTACCCAGAAAGGTTTAGGGGCACCCAGAGGGTGAGGAAAGTGCCTAGGACACAATAAGGGAGCAGAAGGCCCTGCTTCTTCTGGGCTAGTAAACTTTGCCTTCTGTAAGTTCTGACAGCTGCTAGAGGCCAGTGACTGTCCTACCTATTAACTGCTGAATCCCCACATCCCAGTCCCTTGCCTTCTCCACACCTTGATCTTCACATTGGTCCTCATCTCTGCCTGGAATAGAATCTTTCCAGCACCTTGCAGAACTGGTCCATGCTTGTCATTTAGGTCTCAGCTCAAAACCACTCCTCAGAACAACCTTCTTAGACTTTTCCTATCCCTCTCCCTATCACCTGCCTCACATTTTCCAACTGTATTTCCTTTCCTTACCACTTTCTGAAATCAGCAGCTATTTCTTTGTTGGCTTATTTATTTTCTACTTCTCTAGAACATAAACCCCCTGAATTCAGTGAACTTGTCTGTCTTGTTCACTGACACATCCTTGAGTCTAGGTGTTTAATGAAGGATAAATGAAGTAAGTACATACAGATTCTACCAAAGGAGGGATTAGAAAAACCATACTTACTCAACACTTCACATGTGGATTTTTTTCTTTTTCTTTTTGGCAGTACTGGGGTTTGAACTTAGAGCCCCATACCTGCTAAGCAGGTGGTCTACCACTTGAGCAAAAATCCATGTTGGATTTTTGATGTTCTCCCAAGTGGGCTGACACATTTCATTACAGACATGCATACTGGACAGAATTGAACAAAGGTGTTCACCAACCCAGGAACTTAAACTTGGACCCATTACTACACCATACCATACCTTAATGGTACCATATAAATTTGTATTTAAAAAAATAAATCTAGCAATTACTATGTGAACAGAACACTTGAATTTGTTGTTGGTGTTGGGGTATTGTGCATATTAAATATAAGTGATTTAAATATATACAAGGTTTGTAAAATTCTCTAGTAAGTTCATTGTTTAAGAATGCTGGCCACTCCCCCACCTGGTAAGACCCTTGAAAAGCTAGGTTCTGGTGGACCTAGGCCATGCATGTTTTAATTCCACTCAACCTCCAGAGTCTATCACAAGGTAGGGTACACAGTACACATTCAGGGCCTATGCGTTATACCCAGGATTGCCAGCTAGGATCGCAACCTCCCTCTGGGCCTTAAGAGGCTCAGGCCTCAACTTATGAAGTATCTTCCACAAGTGCTTTTCCTTCATAAATCCACAAGCATATTCTGTTGAAGCTACATTCAAATGTTGCTTGATTCCACCTGCTTGTAGTCGTGTTGCAGGCCAGTGTCAAGGGTTCTTGCTTTCCCAGGCCAAAGAACTGACTCGTGAGACAGCTGATTGACTTGTGGGACAACAAGGTCGGTATACAGAGTACAATTTATTAGAGAAAGAAAAGTCTACAGCGAGAGCAGTGCAGGAAGAGCCTGGAAACTGGTGGCTCCCTGCTTAGATGAAGGCTGGAGCTTTTTATGGTCGCTTTAACTCTGGGTTAGGGTAAGGGTTCGGTGGGTTCTTTCCATTGGCCTTGGACTCATGCGTGTGGGCTCTCTTTGATGAGCTGTTCTGTTTGCCCCTTATGGGGGGAAACAACCTTGACAGCATTCTGTTTATCAGCCCCGTGGCAGATTTATGAGATCATGTAACTCCTTTTCAGGGTACAGGGCTCAGTGATCTCCATGGGGGATGGGATACCCACTCATCTGTCCTTTAGGTCCCCAGACCCAACAGCTGTCTCTTCCTTAGACAACTGCAACATATCCTAACTGACCTCCCCTCTCCAATCTGAAATCCTTACCTTCCAATCTCCACACTCCAACCAAAATGAGTTTTGCCAGGCTTTATTCCTCAACTTGAAAAATCGACCAGAACTCTTTACCAGAGCCCACACAGCCTTCTATAAGCCAATCCAACTCTCCTTATTATCTTATTGGGAATCTACAAAGCCCCAGGCTCGGAACATTCCAGAAGCAGGTCCCTCAAACACTCTAAATTTGTTCCAGCCACAGAGTCTTTCAATTGTTGCTTCCTCTGCCTGGAAAAGGTCCCCCGGGTTCCACTCCCTGATTTTTGCATTGCTGCTTCCTCACGGTGCAGGGCTCAGTTCAAGGTCATCTGAACAAACAGGCCATCTCTGATTATCTAAAGAACTTCATCACCATCCCAAAATATTTCCCTTCCTTGTTTTCTTGCTGTTGCTCCAAGTGGAGTGCCAGTTCCATGAATGCAGGAACCTCTTCTATCTTGTGCCCTGACAGATCCCTCAGCACCTAGAATAGTGTCCAGCACATGGTAGGTGTTCAAAAATATTCTTTACTGAATGATTATTAAAATAAATATTAAACAACGTAAAGATAGTGAATGTGAATGAATGAAAGAAGGTGGGCTGGGAGCGATGCTCAAGTGGTAGAGCCCTGCCAAGCAAGCTTGAGGCCCTGAGTTCAAACCCCAGTACTACCAAAAGTAAAAAAAAAAAAGGTGGGATCATGTCAAAGAAAGATCTTAGGAGCCTCCAAATTCTTCTTGCATATGTTTTTCTTCCAAAGCACCTAGTAACCCCATTTCTCCTTTCCCAGGTCTGTATGAAAGTCAGCTGTCTATGACTCACCCTGGCTGAGAGGCCAGAGGATGAGAAGGCTCTTCAGGTGTCCCTCTAATCCCTCAGCAGTTCACCCAGGATCCTGAGCTATCCTTCAACCAATGCCTGTTCACTGGAATGGCTTTCAATTCCCTCCTAGGTTCTGATATCATTGTTGGACCTCATGTTTGGAGGAAAAATCCCCCCCCCACCCAACCTATGGCCAAACCTGAATTGAATCCCAACATGAAGTGCTCACAATGGCTGAAAATGAAACAACTCTATCAAAGAAATGCATAACATTACTGGATTACAACTCATAGAAAGTAAGTATCAGAGTCCATAGGAACATATGTAAGTAATTGAATAATAATGGGAGAGTTGAGACAGCTTTTTCTTATTGAATAAGAAATGTGGAATTATCTTCTCACAAGAAACTTGTTAGTTACAGAGACAAAACTAGTAACCCACAGTGAAGAAACCTGGCAGACACCACCTTCAGGAGGGAATCAAAATTAAAATCGCCATTAATAAATGTGGTATGTTACTACAGATCATTTCTATCCACAATGCATGCCATGGAGCAAATCATGAGAAACATCAGATAAATCCAAGTTGAGGAACTTCTGCAAAATAACTGACTGATAGCTCTTTATAGTATCATAGTTTCGGCCTGGTGCAATGGTACCACACTTTTGTAATCCAGGCTACTCAGGAGTCGAAAATAGGGAGGCCACGGTTACAATCTGGGCAAAAAGTTAGCGAGACCGCCACCTCAATTAACAAGCTGAGCATGGTGGTGCTATCTGTGTTCCCAGCTAAGCAGGAAGCCACAAAGGAGAACGGCGTCTGAGCCAACCTGGGCAAAAAACACAAGTCCCCACCTGAAAAATAACTAAAAAACTGAAAAATAACAAAAAGTCGCTGGAGGCTGGCTCAAGTGCCCTGAGTTCAAATCCCAGTACCGCAAAAAAAGTCTCGTTTCAAGACAAAGGTGAGGCACTGTCACCGATTAGAGAAGACTTAGGAGATATGACAAGTGAGGGAGGACCTCGGTTTAGGTCCTGGACCAGATCCAATTAAGGACGACAGTGAGAAACCCCCACAAGTTTGGATAAGGTGTATGTTTAGGTAATAGTAACTCAGTTTCCTGGTTTTCGTAATAAGCTCCGGTCATGTAAGCTGATAACTGGGGAAGCTGGGTTAAAGATTTACGGAAGCCCTTTGCTATATTTTGCAACCTTTTTGCTTACCAAAACCCCACAACTCAAACACGATCACCCATCCCCAACACCCCGCGAGTGAGGCTGAGCCGGAAGTTCGCCACAGGATCTCCATGCACCTTGTTCTTTTCGTACCCGAAGGCTCTGGAAGGGCGCAGCGCGAAACTGCGATGTCTGGACCTGGGGGCGGGCTGTAGAGCGGATCCGGAAATAGCAGTATTTGGGCCTGGGGCCAGGGCGCGGATCCGGAAGCGGGGGCGTTCGGACCTTGGGGCGGGCCGTAGCGCGGACCCGGAAGTGGCGGTGGTTGGGACTGGGGGGCGGATCGCAGCCCCAGGCCAGAAGAGGCTGTGTGTCGGCGGTGGTGAGATTAGGTGGCTGCTGCTCGGGACGCTCCGGACCGTCTGTCCGGCTCCTTCTGACACCTCCGAGTGTTCACCGCCGTCGCCATGTCGTCGGTGAGCCCCATCCAGATCCCCAGCCGCCTCCCGCTGCTGCTGACCCACGAGGGCGTGCTGCTGCCGGGCTCCACCATACGAACCAGCGTGGATACAGCCCGCAACTTGCAGCTGGTGCGGAGCCGCCTGCTCAAGGGCACGTCGCTGCAGAGCACCATCCTGGGCGTCATCCCCAACACGCCTGACCCCCCCAGCGACGCGCAGGACCTGCCGCCGCTGCACAGGTACCGGGCGACCCCGGCGGCGGCGGCGGACTCGGTCACCACGTCAGTCCCCGCGTGGACAAGACCGCTGCCCAGTGAGCTTAGTGCGATAACTCACGAATTTGTGACCCTAGCGGGAGAACTCACGAAGTCGGACCTGATTTGGCTTGCATCCCAGCCCCCGCCCCCGCCCCCGCCCCCGCCCCGCCCCGCCTGGGCCTCCTTTAGCCCCGAGAGCTCTCTCCTTCTTCCTCTTCCCACCTTCCTCCTCGCTCCCTTCGTGTAGTCTCACCGTCTGTTCTCCACACGTTCCCATTTTCCCGCCCCTTCCCTGACTGCACCACTCCGTTAAGTTTTGGGTGTTTTTCTTCTACACTCCCCATTACTTTTTTCCCCCTTCTAAAAAGGGCTCGTATTTTCCCTGTCTGAAACTTTCCTAGGTTCTCACGTTTGCTCCCTGTCTCATCTCTTAATGTCTCGTATTTCTTAGGCCCCAGCTTTGCATCTAGATTGTCCTGCACTAGAGGCCCTAGTTGTGTGATTTAACAGCACCCTTCTGGAAGGTGTGCCATGAAAAGAAGTAATACGTGTGGACAGCTTTGCACCTTGCTTGCTAGCTAGCTGTGCTGTGCGGTTCAGGATGAGGCAACAGAGCCCTGAAATGTGGCTGGTCCAGACCAACACCACCCATGTCATGGGTTGGCAGGGCTGTCAAGTTTTAGCACTGAAAAGCCTATGTCTCAGGAGGCCGCTTAGTCCCAGGCAACCCAGGGCCGTTCGTCACCCTAAATGCACACCAGAGTTTGAAAAATCTTAGCCTGAGAAATGTATATATTGAGTGCTGAAATGGTAATATTTTGACTATTTGGAGTTAAATAAAAGGTTACCTTCTTACCTGTTCTAACTTTCTAATGTGGCCATTAAAATCACATACCTGGCTTGAATATTAGTGCTTCTGTATATTATGCTCTCAACAAACATCTTCAAACTCATCTCCCAGCTTCCTGTCTTTAGCTGCCCTTCAGGTGTTTTTCCAGTTTGGAGAGCCTCCTGCTGTCTTTAGCCCTCATTTTCAAATGAAGGGCTCATGACTGAATGGATTTAGAGTTTAAAAATGCCACATTTTTTACTTAAAAACAAGTCCACGAGAGCCCAGTGTCAGTTCACACTGCAAGTCCTTGCTTTTGTCAGTCGTGAAGAATATTTGGTTCCTGTCTGATGTGCTTTGCTTAATGCCTGAGTGGAGTTGGACACTTTTCAGATTTCATTACTCTTTGACAGATTGTTTTGAGATTCTGGTTTCCCAACATATGACCCTATTTCTTAAACCTCTATTTGTTTTGCCCAGAATTTTTTCCCTTCTGTTGCCCACATGCTCATTATCATGTACTGATTGCCCATGATTACACTGACTTTTTAAAGTAGAGTTAGTTATATATTAGACTTGAATAACTATTCGTTGGCATTATTCTGGCAAGGTTTTGGAGGGGTTTTGATTTCTTTCTTATAAATGCCTCCAAAATAACAGTAACTGAATTCACCTGCCTGGAAGTAATCACTAATACTCAAATAATGTGTAATCTGATCCTTGATGGGCTGTTTTGCCTTTGTTTTCAATGTTAGAATTTAATCATTTAAATTAGGAAGCATATCATGAAAAGTCTTCATAGAATTTTAGCACTGAAGAAACCCACTGAACCATTTACTTATCTTAGAAATAGTTTGCTACTTGAGAACTCTATGCAGAAACATTGCACCATATTCCTTTGTAATTCCAAAGTCTATTTTTCCTCCCTTACAGCTTTCAAAACACACTTTACTTAAAAAACAAACACAAACTCCCAAAGCTTCAGTAGTACAAATACTGAGTTTGTTTCTATAACAAATCTGTCCTTCCCTAATTGCTGGCCTTTGCAGATGGTGGTAACGGCCAGAGGGGAGGTGAAGGGCTCTGATCTCTACTCCCTTTTCCTTTACACCATCCAGGTGACCTGCCTCTGCCCTCAAGGATCAGAAGGAATTTGTTCCTTACCACACAGAAGGTGACTTTCCTATGCCATTGCCTTTGCCTCTTGAGCTGCACCGTCCCTTCTGCATGCTACTGTGCACACATGTAGCCCAACAGAATCTCTTTTAAAAGGTGTGGAACTTGGTTCCTATGCTACCTCAGGACACCCTTCTCTTTTTTTTTGCTTAACTGAACTGTGTTTTTAGTGGCTCCTGAGTGACCCATTGTTTCTTAGTGAAAGTGGGCAGTAATTTAGCACTACCTGGGCTAGAGCTGGTGGCTTGTGCCTATAATCCCAGCTAGCTGCGAGGTGGAGGTAGGATTACAGTCTGAGACCAGCCCCAGGCTGAAAAATTGAAAAGCAGAAAGGACTGGGGATGTGCCTCAAGTGGTAGAGTGCTTGCCTAGCAAGTGAGAAGCCCTGAGTTCAGTTCCCAGTACCACCGAATAAATAAATACGTAAGTAATAATTTAGTGCTAGTTGTACAGAATACTTTCAGGCATTTCAAGATGGTCATCCAGTCTTCCTCTAACTATGTTCTTCGGGGTCCATGGCTGCCTTTCTGCACAGTGCCGGTCCCTCAGTCTGTTTGTTTGCTTTCTTACTCATCTGGAAGACCCCAAGTTAGTCTCTTTGGCATTTGTCCAACAAAACGTAAGTACTTTATACACAGCAGATGCAGTTCCATAGCAGGATCAATTCTTTGTTTATCCATTATGCTTTACTATTAGCATTCTTAGGCATTGAAGAAATATTAATAAAAATTAAAATTTAATATTTTATATATTAGTGAGTATGTGATGGATAGTCTACTTAGACTTTCCTAAATCTTCACTTACTCTTCTTGGGGAAGGTCTGTCTATGAGTGGAGTTTCTTGAATCCAGAAGTGAAGTTTTAAGAAAGGATGATAGTCAAAAGTCCTCTAGAACCAAAAGCCTCTTCTGGTTTTAGAGCTTGGGGCTGTTCTTGTTTGTAAGTCATTATTAATAACAATAAAAGTTTTCCAGAAATCAGTTCCTTATGAAGACAAGTAATGTTAAACCAATATAAAACTAAGAAGACGTTTCAGTGTCACTTTCCTAGAAATGTATAACTTTTCTTTCTTTCCAGAGCTTTGGTAGAATGCTTCTCTTCCTTAAGTGTCCTTGAGATGCAAGCATTATATATTTTTAGCTATGCTTTCAGCTCCCTCAACCATGGAGAAGCTATGTTAATTAGTGTAACTGTTACAAATTTATATTGTCCATTGTGGTGAATCGCAAAACCTAGTCAGGAAACCATTGCTGATAAGTGTCCTTGTTTCCATGGATAACTAGCTTGTGTCCTGTATACTGTGGTATCATTTCCACAATGGGTAGTTTTAAATGTGAATTTCACACAAAAGGGCTGAGAAGGGAGTGGGGAGCCCTGCATTTTTCCAATATGGGCAAAACTGAATTAGTATCATTACAGAAAGGGCTTGAAAAGATTGAGGATTCCAATACCAATGGAATGCTTTAAAGTAAAATAAAAACAAAAAAATGAGAATTTACACATTTATATACTGTCCTCACCTTGAAAATACTGCTTTTTTTCCAGTAGTAGCTTTTACATTTCCTACCGCTACAATTGATGATTTTCAAATACTTTTAGAACTCCTTTATTATTTTAGTCAATTTCCAGATTACACAAACTGTATCTCTTATAGTCAGACGTTGTGTGGATTAAAATGCTATAATATTGTACAAACTCTGAAAGTATAGTCTAGTTAGGAATTTTACTTTCTGTATCTGTAACAATATCAAAGTTCTTTGAGTGTAGATTTAGTACAGCTGCTACCTAAAAGGAAAGACACCACTCATTTGACGTATAAATTTAAATCTTGCAAATTCAAAGTGTTTCTTTTGGTCATACCTAATAATGCACCTATTACAATAAAAGAGCAAGAATATTAAGAAAGATGACTTATAAAGAAATTTCTTTTATAGACAAAATTGGGTTAATTGAATATTTTGTTTGCCTATTTTCATACATAAAACCTGGAGCCCAATAGACAATATAACTTACCTAAATAACATTGAACATTGTCCTTTTCCATGGTGTTTTCCACCCAAAATGTCTTCATCAGATACTCTGTTTCTAACCATCTATAATTTCACAGGTTGTGTTTTTCTTTAAAAGGGGCATATTATAGCCAGGTACAGTAGCTCATGCCTCTTATCCCAGCTGTGTGGGATGTGGAAATGGGAAGATCATCATGTTGGTTTGAGGCCAGCCTGCGCAAAAAGTTTGCAACACCCCATTTTAGCAGAAGAGAGTGGGCATGGAATGAGGTGCCTATCATTCCAGCCATGCAAGAAACTTAAGTGGGAAGATCATGGTTCAGGCTGGTACTGGCAAAAATGCAAGACCTTTCTTATCTGAAAAATAAAGCAAAAAGGGCTGGGAGCACGGCTCAGGTGGTAGAGGGCCTGCCTAACAAGTACAAGGCCTTGAGTTAAAACCCCAAAATTGCCCAAAGAAAAAACAAACAAACAGTAAACCCAGGAAGTATGTTCTAGTCAACTATATGTGATTTCAAGTAAGAACCTATTAACATATTTAAATTTTTTGTCTTAGGAAATTTAGAGACATTGTGTAATCCAGTGTAATCTCGATTCAGTTTGGAACATCTTCCTTTCACCGTTAGCAAAAGTATTTTATAAGCTTTGTTAAAAAAAATTCATTTTAGTATCATCTTTTGGGGGGGTTTGAACTCAGGGCTTCATGCTTGAAAGCAGGAGCTCTATCACTTGAGCCACAACTCTAGTCTACTTTGCTCTGGTTGTTTTGGAGGTGGGATCTAATAGACTATTTTCCTGGCTTGACCTTGAACCACAATCTCAGCCCCCCAAGTAACTAGGATTATATGTGTGAACCACTGGTGCGCAGCTTAGTGTCACTTTTTATCAGTGACATAGACCAAATAATTAAACTTAACCTCCTAATTTGGAAGTTTGGATTTGGCTCATGTCTCTCTCTACTCTCCCCTCATTCCGCTCCCCTCCCCTATCCTCTCTTTTTCTTTTTTTTTTAATTGTTTATTCATTTATTCATATGTGTGTACATTGTTTGGGCCATCTCTTCCCCTGTCCACCCCCACCTCCCTTGCTTCTAAGCAGAACCTGTTCTGCCCTCTTCTCCAATTTTGTTGAAGAGAAAACACAAGAGTAAGAAAGACAACGTTTTTGCTAGCTTGAGATAAAGATAGCTGTACAGAGAGATTCCTAGCATTGCTTCCATGCACTTGTATAATACATTCTCTTTTTTTTCTTCCTCTGCTTCTACTTTGTAAACCCTTTCCACCAGGGATCCAGTTTCTGTATACAAACAGAACTGTGAACTTGTTCATCATGGAGCAAACATTGATGGATGTCATCTGCAATAAATTACAGTCTTAAGTTGGTTTCTGATCAGATTAGATATTGCTAACTTTCTCAAGCTCTCAGGTAGTTTTTAGGACATGGAAAATACAACCATTATTAATTAGTGACTTAAGAAAAGTAGCCAGACTACTTAAAAAGCTGGACATCGATCTACCATTTGATCCAGCAATACCACTCTTGGGGATATACCCAAAAGACTGTTACTCCAGAGGCACCTGCACATCCATGTTTATTGCAGCACTATTCACAATAGCCAAGTTATGGAAACAGCCAAGATGCCCCACCACTGACGAATGGATTAAGAAAATGTGGTATCTATACACAATGGAATTTTATGCAGCCATGAAGAAGAACGAAATGTTATCATTCGCTGGTAAATGGATGGAATTGGAGAACATCATTCTGAGTGAGGTTAGCCTGGCTCAAAAAACCAAAAATCGTATGTTCTCCCTCATATGTGGACATTAGATCAAGGGCAAACACAACAAGGGGATTGGACTATGAGCACAGGATAAAAGCGAGAGCACACAAGGGAGGGGTGAGGATAGGTAAGACACCTAAAAAACTAGCTAGCATTTGTTGCCCTTAACGCAGAGAAACTAAAGCAGATACCTTAAAGCAACTGAGGCCAATAGGAAAAGGGGAACAGGTACTAGAGAAAAGGTTAGATCAAAAAGAATTAACCTAGAAGGTAACACCCACGCACAGGAAATCAATGTGAGTCAATGCCCTGTATAGCTATCCTTATCTCAACCAGCAAAATCCCTTGTTCCTTCCTATTATTGTTTATACTCTCTACAACAAAATTAGAAATAAGGGCAAAATAGTTTCTGCTGGGAATTGGGGGGGGGAGAGGGAGGGGGTGGAGTGGGTGGTAAGGGAGGGGGTGGGGGCAGGGGGGAGAAATGAACCAAGCCTTGTATGCACATATGAATAATAAAAGAAAAATGAAAAAAAAAAAAGAAAAGTAGCCAGAAAACAAGTCAAAATAATAAGTAAATGCCAAATCATTTTTAAGTTTTTAAAGTATGCTATTTTCGTCCTTCTCACTGAATTCTTCCTAACAATTTGTCTTAAGTCACTGTTTAAATCAGTTTTGATTCCCTTTATGCACAATATGACTGAAAAGGTGGTAGAAAAAGGGCATGGCTCAAAATGAGCTGAGGGATCCAAAGGAAACAAAGGTAGCCAGGATGCACAGCTTGTATAACATCTGAGGATGGAGTTGAGGAATTCCTGAGCAGCATTTGCTGTGACTTAGCATGTTGGAGGTAAGCGGGTGCTCTCTTCCGGTGTTGCTGTTGCCCTAGAGTGCCAGTCCCTTTAAATTACCATCTTTCTTTTCTGAAGTTACTGCCTTCCCTATGTCTGAGGGAAGGAAACATATTTAAAGTTGGGATTTGGAAGCATCTCTTGAATGCTCATCTTTGTATTTTATATAATTTTGGCTTAGTTTGGATAAGGCTTCCTTTCTGTGAATTAAATTTATATGTAACTTGATTGAAGTTGGATTTTCTGATAAGAAGCTGAGACTTAAAAAGCTTTTCACCTATTATTAGGTGAGGTGATTACTAGGTTTATTCCTCATTGAGATGTAGGTCTTTATCTCTCCTCAGCCCATGCCCCCAAATTTAGAAATTTTGACTTAAGGATATGTATGTATATGCTTAGATCTCAATGGCAGTTAGTAATAAGGTGGGTGTGTATAAGTGTTACTGATTGATTATGTAAGATAACTGGTTTACTGTTACTAAAACTGATGTTGAAACAGAGATTTCTTATATTCGTTTATGCCACTTATATTTAAGTGTATTTAAAATGTTAATATTCTAGGATTTCTAGTTGTCAAACACTTTCACATTTTATTTTAAATAATCCCAGTATCTGGGAATTTGTGCCTAATTTTTTAAAAGAGGTGCCAGTTACTATGAGATTGGCTGCTTTGCCCCACAGCTGAGATAGTGACCTACCAGACCACATAGTGGATGCTAAATTAAATAGATAATTCATGTATACTTTAGATGTTCTTTACTTTTACATTTAATTTTGTATTTCTCAAAATAACTGACAGTTTTTACAGAAAGCTTCTGTCCTACTATATCAAATGTTTGTAATACCAGCATTCTGTGTCTTTTTCAGGATTGGAACAGCTGCCCTGGCGGTTCAGGTTGTGGGCAGCAACTGGCCCAAGCCCCACTATACTTTGCTGATTACAGGCCTATGCCGGTTCCAGATTGTCCAGGTCTTAAAAGAGAAGCCCTATCCTGTTGCTGAAGTGGAGCAGCTGGACCGGCTAGAAGAATTTCCCAACACCACCAAAACAAGGGAAGAGCTAGGAGAGCTATCAGAGCAGTTTTACAAATATGCAGTACAAGTGAGTGGCTTTTATTTTTTTCCTTAAAACCCATTTACTTTTGCTTTTGTTTTGTTTGTCGTAAGATATGATGAATCTACTAGATAATGAAGTTTTAGGGAAGCATATATTTAAATGATTTAATAATATTTTATAGTGTATTACAATTTGCTTTTGTCTAGGGCTTGTACCTGAATCATTCCAGACATATTAGCCAACCCTTTTTTTTAAAGTTTTTCCTAAAGGTGTTACTAGAGCTTTCTTTATAACTTCTACTGTTTCTAAACCAGATAGTTATGAAACCTAAATATTTAATGCTAAAATTAAAATGCCACACAAGTTATTTGTCATTAAAATATATAGCCTCCAAATTATAGAAGTTCTATTGCTTCAGAGGTCTAGGTGGCACAGTGCCTGTCAATAAATATGAAGATCCAGCCCAGGGTGAACTGGTTTCAAGTCTGGGTGAAACCTTGACTAACTAGAATGCTGGAAGGGAAGCATACACACTAAGTATTGAACTCCTTAATTCTAGTTTTGAGGTTTTTGGTTAATTCTACATAAAACTTACTATACTTCCCACTTACTGTGTTCCAAACCTTAATGAAATATGTTATAAAATTAAATTATAAAATGTAGCCTTCCACTTTTCTATTGATGTAAGGCAGTAGCTGTAAGTGGAACTTTGAGGACCAGATAGTGTCTAAAGGTCTTGATAACTGAACAGTGTGTGGGGTAGGTGTTGACAGCCTGTTATATTTGTACCTGGTATGTCATTTGAAGTTACACTCTCCTAGCATGGTGAACAATAATGGAAAAATACAAAATCTGGAGCTCTGCCTTTTGTAGGGCTGAAAGAAATTACTATGAAAAAAGAACCTCCAATTTGAGAAGTGGAGTAGGTGCATGATCTTCAGGAATGGTGAAGAATGGGAAATAGAATTCCTCTTCCCAGGCAAGGCTCCCCAGCTCTTGCACTTGTGATGGATGCAGCTCTGTGCCTTTTTTCACATTGCCTTTACTTCTCTCTACTTTGAATCTACAGAAGGTTATTAAACATGAAGCTTTTTGTAATGTCATTAAAGGGATTTTTAGAGGGAAATCACCATAAATTTTACTACCATTATACATACCTAATTTAATTTTTATTTTCTTTAATTTTATGTTTTTCATATTGAATACCTGAATAAATTTTACTGACTCAGAGTATCATAATTTTATTTTTCCTTATTTATTTATTGGTGGTGGTACTGGGATTGAACTCAGGGCTTTTTCTAGGCAAGCACTATACCACGGGAGCCACTCTGCCAGCCCTTATTCTTCCTTCAGACAGTAAGATTATTTCTAATAGTGCTTCTCCTTTATTCCCTTTGACACCTTCTCCTAGAGCCCTCATCAGTAGATTTCTTCAGGAACTTCATAACTGATCTCCTTCCACTTTCTTCTAACCATTTTGCTCACCAAATTTTTCCTTTTAAAAAACAAAACAGCGGGCTTGGTTGTAGGTCAGTGCTAGAGCTCATGCCTAGTATGTGGAAAGCCCTGGGTTCCATCCCCAGCACCCAAAGAAGAAAACAATTTGGAGCTTACTTTCCCCTTGGGTAAAAGATATAAGCACCATAGGATAAAGGTCAGATTTCTTAGTATAATGCTGAGGCCTTTCCAACTCATCTTAGGCCTATTTTGCCTAAGCCCTAGTTACTACATTGAGACCCATAGTTCTAGCCACCTGGATTAGCAAGAGACTTTCATCTTGTTTTGTATATTTTTGTGATTCTTCCTTCTATTCTCTGCAGAGAGTTCTCTTCCTTCCTGAATTTTCAGACTTGATTTATGCTTTCCAACTCCTGTAGGATTCGTGTTCCTTTTTCTCCATCTCAGTCCTTTATTAATGTTATATGGAATGTCTTGTAGATTATATTGTCTTACGGATCTCCTTGCCCTTCCAAACTGGTGTTCATTTCTGTGTTAGCCATCCTGAACTGAGCACTATATTATGTCTGACAAATAGTTCCTACTCAGAAAGTGTTAGAGGATTGAGTTTTAAATTATTTTCTTAGGGTGAATTTCTAGGAACAAGGATCTTAAATTTTTAGTATCTACTTCTCCCACCTGAACAGCCTCATCATAATGTTGCTTTAATTCCCTTGATTTTAAGCAGGTTAATGGATAGGTTCCTAAATTACAATGTTTTTAGAGGGCATTGATTACTGGCAAATGGAGTTTTTGAATTGTCTTAGTAAGGGTTTGCTGTATCACTTATGAACTTACATGAGCTAAATTTTGCTTTGTTAACTACAAAATCTCAGTTACATAATAGGACAAAGGTGTCTTTCTTGTTCAGGCTTCATGCTTAAAACTAGTAGGTGTGGTGATCTGCCTTTTAGAGTCCACTGAGGGACAAAGGTGGATTGAAGATTCAGTTCAAGACATTTTCCTTTTAAACAAGCAAAAAAAGGAAATGTGGCAAATCTTTCAGTGGCTTTTAGTGTTTCTGCCCCAGAAGGGACTTTTGCATCCCTTTGTTTTGAGATCATCTTAAGACTCAACTACATCTATTTTCAGAGCGAGTGAGAAAGAACAGAACTGTCCTGTCTCTGAATCCAGAAGAGAAGGGGAATCTGTCAGCAGCCTTAATGAATGTCACAGTTAATGAAAGTTTGCCCTCAGTTTAATCTGTCTTAATTTAAGGTTATTCCCTGGAAGAGATTTTTTTTTCCTTCTAAAAATTAGCCAGTGTTCAGATTTTAATTAGCACAGATGTTATACTAAAAATCAGTATTTTGACTCCTGATTGACTATCACAATAACATCAACTGTTTTGCCAATTTCCAGAATCTAATAATTGTGTAGTGATCATGTAAAAGAACGTCCTGTTCCTAATGTCCTGACCTTTAACAAGGGTCATGATGGTTGCAGATGTTCAGCAATAATAATAGTGTGTGTGGTGGTGGCGGGGGGCGGGATGTAAACATGTTCTTTGCAGAGGAAGAAAGCTAATGCCACAAAATGTTGTTAAGAACTGGTAGATCTAGAAGGACATAGAAGAATTCATTGTACTGTTCTTGCAACTTTGTTATAAATGAATTTTTTCCAAAATAAAGTTAAAATCATAGCACAGATTTACAAAGCCTTTTATAAACATTAGAACTAAACACTTTTGAACCATTTTGCTTTTCATTCTGATTGGCATTTTGAAAATGCTTCTCCTTTACTCTGAGGCCTGTAAAAACACCTGCATTATGTTAATCAGTGATCTTTCAGAAACAAAGACAGGAACCCCAATAAACCTGTATGAAAGTCTGATGATTTCAGTTCACAACTCTGCCAGGTTTCATTAAAAAGACTTTTTTCCCTTCTAGTTGGTTGAAATGCTAGACATGTCTGTCCCTGCAGTTGCCAAGTTGAGACGTCTCTTAGATAGTCTTCCAAGGGAGGCTTTGCCGGACATCCTAACTTCAATTATTCGAACAAGCAACAAAGAGAAGCTCCAGGTACTGTGTGCCCTTCTTGAATGCCAAGTTTTTGGTGATTTTTTTAATTATATAAACAGCAGTTAAGTTTGACTTTCAAGAAAGAGATATTGGAGACTCAAAGAAGTAGGTAAAATGCCTTTATATTTAAAGTGACTTTCAAAAGTAATTGTTTTAGCTGTGTGGAGGTGTGGGAGGACTAACTTGTAATCCTTGCACTTGGGAGGCTGAGGCAGACATTTGGAGAGTTCTAGGGCAGCCTGGGCTATGTAGGAAGATCCTGTCTCAAAAAAAGAAAAGGGATTGTTTTATATTTTTGTTTACATAAGCAGCTCTTTTATTTGCACAATCAGTATGCGTAGTTGGCCAATTTATGGGAAAAGTTAAAGCAGAGAATCATTAAAAAGTAAATATTTAATGTAAATATGCAAACATTTTGTTGTACCATTTTCTAAACATGAGGAACCATGGCCTTTCTTGTATATGGACTGAATTCTGGTGTTTTCTTTGTTTGTTTGGGGGTATTTGAGACAGGGTTTATGTAGTCCAGGTTGGCCTCCTGACCTTTATCTTTAGCATTTAGGATTACAGGTGTGCACCACCACACTCATCTCCCTGCCTGATGATTTTTATATAAATCACCTCTACAGTATTGATGACTTTCTGTTTATATATTTTTTTAAAGAAATTAATTGTAAAGACCTTTGGAAAATATAATCCTAGATTTGCAAGACTTAATCCCCAAACTACAAAACTCCTTTAAGTTACCTATATAGTTCTTTTTTTTTTGTGGGTCTGGGATTTGAACTCAGTGTTTTGCGCTTGCAAAGAGGTGCTCTGCTACTTGAGGCATTCCTGCAGTCCATTTTGTTTTGGTTATTTTAGAGATGAGTTCTCGAGAACTATTTCCCCAGTGTTAGAAATATCAGATCTGCCATGATCACAAAAGGTGCTTGGAAGTTGATGGGCAAGGCAAAATTTACTTCTCCAGAAGGGTATGTGTGTGCCTTCAACCTAAGTCAGGCAAGTCAGCATACTGAGCAGAAGAACCACCTCAGTTTTAATCCCTAACACAGGACTGACTGACCCTTTGCTCTAACGGAGGGAGCTCGGGTTCACAGTCTTCGTGATCGACTAAGATTGAGGTTTAGGAGAAGGACAGAGGGGAAGAGCAGACATGATTGAAGAGCATGGACATGAAACTTAATTTGATTGGTGTACCAAAGACAAAAAGATGACCCATGAGGCGGAAATTCTAGTATTCTGGGGAAACTGAGACCTGAAATGACTGTTTGGCCTGAAATGGCAGCACCAAGTAGATAATTAACCTGTGGGCCAAGGGACCTTGAAGCAGAGATTTCTTTGGACAGTGGTTATCCTAAAATTAGAAGTTTGAGTTTTAGGACATCTGATGACAAACAATTCTCTGCATAAAGACAGAAACTTTACAGTTAGGTGACATGCCACCGAGCACATAGGCAACTGGGGAAATTAGCTAATATCCACACAATGACAGCCATATTCCATAGTTTGGCACTGGTTGCGGGGGAAAGGGGCTCAAACCCAAGACCCCGAGATTAAGAGTCTCATGTTCTACTAATTGAGTTAGCTCTTTCACAGAAAAGATACACTTTAGTTGATTTTCATACCGGGTTGGCTCATCCTCCAGACCTCAGCCTCCCAAGTAGCTAAGATTACAGGCTTTAACCATCAGTGCCCAGCTCTCTCTAGTATTTTTTTTACTAAGAGTATTTTTACTAGGATTTTCTTAGTCTGTTTTATTGAATCTTCCTAGAACACTTGTTAGCTTTCATTGAAACAACTCTTTTCTTTTATCAGATTACTCAATAATGAAATGCATCAGTTTTAATAGAACTACAACTCATATGAGCTGGTTGGGCACAGATGCAGACCAGTGGGTGGAAGCAGGAGTGAGTAGGGCATTAATAAGTGTGTTGCACTGGAGGGGAGAGCAACAGCTCTCAAGCCATCTGTAGATTGGCTAATTGTATATGGACAAATTGAATATTTTGAACCTAGAGTTGGTTGGGACCCAATATGTAGCCATATTCTGGGCTTTACTAGAGAAATTCTTAGAGTCAACATCAACTATGTGTATGGTTCTTGATCTTGAGACTTAATGGCTTCATTTTTAAATGAAAAACCAAGATTTTTTTGTTCACCTCTTTTTTTTAGGATTCTCATGTTCATTTCAAAACACTTGGCTGATTGTTGTAGTTAACTTGGTTGTGTTAGCCATGTTATAACATTCCTATCATGATTACTGAGGGGAACTGGTAGGGTTCTGTTCGTGTTGAGGGTTAGGGAGCAGATGCCACAGGTGGGCAGATTGGCTGCATCCCACAGCCCTGGGAGCCTACTGTAGAAGCCCACTGGCACAGAATGTGTGGTGTGGGATAGGAGAGAGATGTGCATACTTGTGTTTGGGGTGGCCCCATTAAAGTGGCTCAGTGGCCACTGCCCAAGCTCCAGAGCTCCTTCCTAAAGGACTGGCACAGTGATAGTACTATGTGGCTTATAGTTGTTTGTATTTTAGCCCAACAGTGTAAGTCATGGCTCTGCCTGCCTATGTGTTTCTGAAAGGTACTTCTTTTTCCGGGGTGGGGGGGGGAAGACTGGAATTTGAACTCAGGATTTTGTAAGCAGGCATTCTGTTAATTTTGGAGGTGGGGGTCTCAAGAACTATTTGCCCAGGCTGGCCTTGAACCATAATCCTCCCAATCTCAGCTTTCCAAGTACCTAGAATTAGAGGCCTGGGCCACCACATGTGCCTTGAAAGGTGCTATTAATGGACTCACCTTTCCCAGATTTTAGATGCTGTGAGCCTGGAGGAACGGTTCAAGATGACCATCCCACTGCTTGTCAGACAAATCGAGGGCCTGAAATTGCTTCAGAAAACCAGAAAACCCAAGCAAGATGATGATAAGCGGGTAAATATTTCTTTCATTCTGTTTTTTCAGGGTTTTGTGTATGTGTGTGTGTGTGCCTGTGTGAATGATGTCAGCAGAGACTAATGGCAGATTGTTGGTCTCACTGAAGAAAGAATTCACAGGCAGATACACAAAGGAGTTCTAAAGTTCAGGGTTTGTTTAAGCTAAAGCTAGATTTATTGAAGCAGAGTCAGACACAAAACAATAGTACACCCTCAAAGGAAACTGAGGGTGGGCAACTTTGCAAACAGTTAAATACATCAAGCTGTCGGGTCCTAGGCACTTTTATGAATTGAGTTTAATGATCACACTGAGTGTTTATAATCATATACATACATAATTGTGGTGATTTTGTAGAAATGGGAAGGGCATTTCCTAGAACTGGGGAAATGGGAGTGGTTTACCTAATAAGGTGCCCTCAGAGCCAACATGGCAATTTGAGGAGAAGGGCATGCATGAAACCGCAGATATAACACATAGGTGAGGCCTTTGCCTAATCTTTGCAGTTGGGGTCTTTGCTGGGGACTGTTGGCTGCTTTACCAACAAGGAGCCTCAACCATGGTTATCTTTAGGACAGTGATAGAGCAGGAAATTTGGCAAAATGAATCAGGATGCAGTGCTGCATCTGCTGTCTGGCTTCTTCATGTTATTGTTCCCTTTCTACCTGCCTGCCCTTATCAGTGTGAGATTTAGTTCAGTTGAAAAAAAGAAAAAGTTGGAAACCACATGCATTTCAGCAGTCCCAGCCACTAGGGAGGCAGAGGCAGAGGGATACCTTGAGCCCAGGAGTTGAAGCCAACCTGGACAATGTAGCAAGAGTTGTCTTGAAAAGAAATCTATTGTAGACTGTTAAATTATTCCAGATGGAATTTATTTTCTCCTAGAATTAGTCTGATATTTATGAGAGCCAATTTTAACTGCTATAAAAGTGGCTCTTGTGTAAGAGAAGGGAAATACTGGGAGCTAATACATTTCTAACTTATTGCTGATTTCTTTCTTACTGTTTATAGGATAATTATAAGCCAGTGGAACTTCCATCTTTTAATAATTATGAATCCTTTCAGTGAAATTTAAAATACTGAATTTTTATACATTTTATAGGCTTCCTGTACTTACTTTATTAACTTAAGGAGTTCTAGTCTGTTGATCTGCCTTTTGTGTCAACAAATGTATAGTGATTCTGCTTCTTATTTGCATAAATATGCCTGGATTTTTATTATAAAAATGCATTGTAGGAAGTAGAGACTCATATCATGGCCTTTTAAATATTGTAATAAAGGTACAAATGGATATTTGCCCCTAGTTTACTGGTGAAAAGTTTGTTTACAGAATTTTTCTTTGGCGCTTAAAGGATGCTATATAAAATGTCATGGGTAGAAAGAATATTTTTGTAATAATAACAAAGATTTTTCATTTAGCAAAGATACTTTGAGAGAATACGTTAAAACAAAATATTTGCCACTACTAGATAAGAATTTTGTAATGAAAACATACATTCTCCTTAATTTTATTCTTGCTCTTGTTAAAAATTTATCTAAATACAGAAGGGGTATGATTTCTTAGGATCTTGTATTATTTATAACCATAGTTTAAATCATTTCTCTTCTAATCATTGCTTCAGAACTCCCTGTATGATTAAACAATGAAAGTTGAGATAAATAGGATAAAAACAATTAAGCTAAAGCTATGCATATTTTAGGTCCTAGTAGTGTCTTTTTAAGGTTTCAAACCTTAAAGAATATTATAAAATACTGATGATGATAAGTGGTGGTGAAGTGTGCGTGATGAGAAGAATTGGTGAAATCCCAAATTAAAACCGTTTCGTAAAGCTCATAAAATTTCATTTTGTTTTCAATTTAGAAAGGGATTAATATTATCAATATGTAGATAACTGGTTTATCATATTAAAAGATTGTGTGGTTCCAGTTCAACTTTAAAAATATAATCTCCTTTATAATTATCATGATTGTTATAATTTTATTGGGAATGTTTTTAGATGACAGAGTTCATATGTTAAATGTAAAAGTCAAGTTAATATCATAAACATCAAATTAAAATTACTCTATTAATATTCATCGATGTATAAAAATGTCTTTGCTGATGAAGTCTAAAGTTCAGCTAGAGAACTATTTTCTGTGATACTTAACTATGTGACCAGTTTTATTTTAAGCTATGTTTCTTTCAGAGATGAGCCATGAAAATAGAGTAATGATATAGATAGTAGGAGATAAGGAGTTGGTTTGGTCTTTTTCAATAAAGATAGAAGTTGCTGAGGTTTTTAATGTTAGACATAGATTATAACCTTTTAGATTTTGTGTTAAGCTTTGTATTATATTACTTCCTAAAAGATAATGCTTCAACATTAAGCATTAGTGTGCTCTTCATGTTAATATGGCAGAGTTTTGTAAACTGAATTAAAACTTAACTGATTATTGGACTTTGAATCAAAGGAAAGACTCAGTACTGTCTTTCCTAGATACATTAGGGGTAAAAACTTTTTCTGAGACAGTCTGCCCATTGAGGTTATTATTAACTTTCTGAATTGCAAATGTTTTGTGCTTAAGAAAAATTGGAGAAAAGCTCCAAAAGCTAGTAGAATTCTAGTTTATATATTCAGCAGTCTATTTATAGTGTAAAATTCTTTATTTTTTGTACAATGAACCATTTACATTTTGCTTTTGGACTCTTAGGTCAGAAGATTTTCCTTTAAATACTTGTCTCAATTTTAGTCCTGTCTTTTGTACTTCTTTTCAGAAGAAATGAGTTGCAGGGTATAGCTGCGTAAAGTGGGTTTTTATCCTAATGGATTGTAAATAAACGATAAGCTTTAAAAGAAAAAAAATGAAAGTTGGGCTCTTGTGGTTCACACCTGTAATCCTAGCTACTCAGGAGGCGGAAATCAGGAGGATCGAGGTTTGAAGCAAGCTGGGCAAATAGTTCTGGGAGATCCTATCTCGAAAAACCCTTCACAAAAATAGGGCTGGTAGAGTGGCTCAAGGTGAAGGGCCTGAGTTCAAACCCCAGTACCACAAAAAAAAAAAAAAAAAAAAAGGGAGGTTGTTAATAAAGAAAAGAACAAAGAAGAACATAGTTCATTGTTGCTAATAAAATTTTAAAGTTTTTCCTCTCTAGTCCTTTTCCATGCCTGGATTTTTTTTTTTTTTTTTTTTTTTTTTTAGCATGTGAGCATTTTCTCATTTTTTTGTTTTGGTAATCATCCAAAAGGACAATTTATTGAGCATTTGCCTTTTTGTCAAATATTGTGTATTGTGTCCAGTGTTTTCCATATTTCAAAAGTTAGCAAAATGACTGTGATAGTGTTCTTGAATATAACTTTAGTTTTTTTTTCCTCCTGCATGTAGTATTTTTCTCTCTTGAATTTTTTGTTTTATGGGCCATATGTGGCCCATGTTGGCTTCAAACTCAAAATCCTCCTGCCTCTGCCGCCCAAGGTGGCATGTGACATCATGCCTGGCTTACTGCACATAGTTTTAAGAACACAATGCAAAATTATTTCCTGGAAGCCACAATTTTGCTTACTTTTTTGCTTTTAACTAGAAAGTCTCAGTTTTACTTAGTTTAACTGTCTTTTCTTATATTCCATGCTGAGTCGTATATCCTCTAGTAGCTTTGTAAATATCTACTTTCCTTACATTGATTTTTTTTTAAAGTATTTAACCTTTTTTTTTTTGTTGTTGGTGATACTGGGGTTCAAACTCAGGGCCTCATGCTTGCTAGACAGGTGCTCTACCACTTGAGCCACTCCACCACTTCATTCTTTAATTCATTTGCCCTCATAACAAGTGAATGCAGCAGTTGCATTTTTCCCAAATAGCTTTTTATTTGGCTCAACACTACTTACCAATTCTAAAATCAAATCAGTATATCACCAGCACCACAAGATCAGATCAGTAACTCATTTATTTTGTGCAGAAGTCAGCGCTTACATATTCTGCACTGAGAGTCACAAAAAAAAAATTGGTGTTTATTATCAGTAGAGGTTCCTATATTTCTTAAAAAGAAATTTCTTCAAAGATACTCAGAAGATGATTGCATTAGAGATGGCTGTTTGAAAATGTGGAGATCAGAGGACAATAGTTAGAATTAGCCTAAAGCCATTTCCTTGTTGTCTTCCTGACTAAGAGTTGAAAAGTACTGTTTTAGCACTTGGAGGAAAATTGCATAAAAAGTGTTTTTGTTTTTTTTTTTTTTTTCCAACAATGAAAAAAGCACTGTTGTACTTGTGTTTTGGAGAAAAGGTCTTGCTGTATAGCCCAGGCTAGCCTTGTACTTGAGATCCTTCTCCCTCAATGCTGGGATTATGTACTGCCATGCCTCTTTTATTGATGTACTTTTTGAAATCTCACTTAAAAATACTTACTAGTTTTCATAATTTAAAATATTTTATCAACAAAAAATAAAATATTTTATTAGGTAATGACTTATGTCAGAATAAGTTTATATTTAATATTTGCCTTTATAAAATTGTATTTTCATTTACTGCTATTTGTTTTAAACTTTTTTATATTTTTGTATATTATATAAATAATTTAACAGGTGAAAACATTCATTCTGGAGGCTTTTAAATACCAGTATATCATTTTGCTCCAGTAGTGGTTAGAGTTGGTTCATGGGATTATTGAGTTGAGAACTGAAAGAGCACATAAAGTACTTTTAATACCTGGCAGAGTGGTCACACAGAAGCAGGCTAGAGGTCATTTGACTCGGTGCAGAAGGCAGTTGTTGGATTTGAAAGGATTTCAGCACAGTGGGACAGAAGCACTGTAATTGGGAGGAAGAGGGCATGATGGTTACGGCCACTTGTTAGAGAAACAGAACCTCACAAGGAGGAAAGTAACCAGTGCAGCAGTTAATTAGGAGGGCCCGCCAGTGAGAGAATATTAAAGGAGAAAGGCTTTTCTGTGTGGAAGTCAGTGGTGGTAGAGCAAGGAAGGAAAAGTTGAACTGTTGGGGAAATACTGTCAGATGAGAAACCAAGCGACACTCAGAGAAGCAGAGAACTCAGATTTTATTTTACACAGGCTGTCCCAGATGAGCTCACACTCAAAATTCTGGGCCTCCAACAATAAAGTCACAGAATTCTTAAAGGGCAGTTCATGGCATCAGGTTACAAGGAATGTGTTAGGGTTAATAGGTGAGCCAGTGCTGGGTTAGAGACCTGGGGTTATGTTTAGATAGGAGCATAGGGGAGGTCTGCTTTGGAAAGTTTGCTTACAGAAGAAGACAAAGGAAGGTGGGAATGGGCAATTATCTCTACATGGGGCCTTTTTGTCTTGGCCCTGGACTCATTTTATGGCATAGCTAGCAATTTCTCATATCCTACGGCCTACTTGAGACATTCTTCCTGTTCATAACATGCTAGAAAAAAATTTTTGTAATCTACCAGGAAAAATGAAATTTATTCAGTCACCAAATGGTAAGTGGTCATGTTTACCAAAAACAAAAAACAAATAAACAAAAAAAAACAGCTGCAAGAAAGAATTCCTGGGTGTTTTAATTATTTCTAGTAGGCACTGCCTTGAAATTTTTTTCTCACATAAGTATTATTGGAAGCATGTACAAAATAATCTTTTCTACTTTCTTTGGTCTGCATTTTAAATTCTGTTGCCTGCTTATGTATAGCTGTTTTTTAATTATTTCGAACTTTATTTCCTAAAGGTATAGACTATAGCACCATTCACAACCTTACTTGTTTTCCAGCTTATTTGCATGTATGGTTTTCTTCTACTTTTTTACTTAGGTTATAGCATTCCGTCCTATTAGGAGGATTACACACATCCCAGGTGCATTAGAAGATGAGGATGAGGATGAAGATAATGATGACATTGTCTTGTTAGAGAAAAAAATACGAACATCTAGTATGCCAGACCAGGCCCATAAAGTCTGCGTCAAAGAAGTTAAAAGGTAAATTACAGAAGACATTAATTCATTAGTGATTTCATTTTGTTTGTTTCTTTTATTTATTTATTTATTTTGGTGGCCCTGTGCTATGAACTCAGGGCTTCTAAACATTGTTTCTTATAGAAGCTTGGTTCTGTTACATTGGATCACAAACAGATGCTGAGTTATTTGTTGTATATTCTGTGATCTTTCTCTTTTTCTTACGCTTTTTACCTGTTTCTTCATTCTTCTACAGACTCTAATTCTTAAGACTTGTTTTTGAGACAGGGTTTCTCTGTGTAGCTCAGGTTGGCTTTGAAATTCACCTCCTGCCTCAGCCTTCTGATTCTGGGATTATAGGCATGTACCACCACCCCATGTAGGTGTTAAGACATTCTTTTTTTTTTTTTTTTTTTTTTTTTTCATTTTTCTTTTATTATTCATATGTGCGTACAAGGCTTGGTTCATTTCTCCCCCCTGCCCCCACCCCCTCCCTTACCACCCACTCCACCCCCTCCCGCTCCCCCCCTCAATACCCTGCAAAAACTATTTTGCCCTTATCTCTAATTTTGTTGTAGAGAGAGTATAAACAATAATAGGAAGGAACAAGGGGTTTTGCTGGTTGAGATAAGGATAGCTATACAGGGCGTTGACTCACATTGATTTCCTGTGCGTGGGTGTTACCTTCTAGGTTAATTCTTTTTGATCTAACCTTTTCTCTAGTTCCTGGTCCCCTTTTCCTATTGGCCTCAGTTGCTTTAAGGTATCTGCTTTAGTTTCTCTGCATTAAGGGCAACAAATGCTAGCTAGTTTTTTAGGTGTCTTACCTATCCTCACCCCTCCCTTGTGTGCTCTCGCTTTTATCCTGTGCTCATAGTCCAATCCCCTTGTTGTGTTTGCCCTTGATCTAATGTCCACATATGAGGGAGAACATACGATTTTTGGTCTTTTGAGCCAGGCTAACCTCACTCAGAATGATGTTCTCCAATTCCATCCATTTACCAGCGAATGATAACATTTCGTTCTTCTTCATGGCTGCATAAAATTCCATTGTGTATAGATACCACATTTTCTTAATCCATTCGTCAGTGCTGGGGCATCTTGGCTGTTTCCATAACTTGGCTATTGTGAATAGTGCCGCAATAAACATGGATGTGCAGGTGCCTCTGGAGTAACAGTCTTTTGGGTATATCCCCAAGAGTGGTATTGCTGGATCAAATGGTAGATCGATGTCCAGCTTTTTAAGTAGCCTCCAAATTTTTTTCCAGAGTGGTTGTACTAGTCTACATTCCCACCAACAGTGTAAGAGGGTTCCTTTTTCCCCGCATCCTCGCCAACACCTGTTGTTGGTGGTGTTGCTGATGATGGCTATTCTAACAGGGGTGAGGTGGAATCTTAGTGTGGTTTTAATTTGCATTTCCTTTATTGCTAGAGATGGTGAGCATTTTTTCATGTGTTTTCTGGCCATTTGAATTTCTTCTTTTGAGAAAGTTCTGTTTAGTTCACTGCCCATTTCTTTATTGGTTCATTAGTTTTGGGAGAATTTAGTTTTTTAAGTTCCCTGTATATTCTGGTTATCAGTCCTTTGTCTGATGTATATGGCAAATATTTTCTCCCACTCTGTGGGTGTTCTCTTCAGTTTAGAGACCATTTCTTTTGATGAACAGAAGCTTTTTAGTTTTATGAGGTCCCATTTATCTATGCTATCTCTTAGTTGCTGTGCTGCTGGGGTTTCATTGAGAAAGTTCTTACCTATACCTACTAACTCCAGAGTATTTCCTACTCTTTCTGTATCAACTTAAGAGTTTGGGGTCTGATATTAAGATCCTTGATCCATTTTGAGTTAATCTTGGTATAGGGTGATATACTGGATCTAGTTTCAGTTTTTTGCAGACTGCTAACCAGTTTTCCCAGCAGTTTTTGTTGAAGAGGCTGCTATTTCTCCATCGTATATTTTTAGCTCCTTTGTCAAAGATAAGTTGCTCATAGTTGTGTGGCTTCATATCTGGATCCTCTATTCTGTTCCACTGGTCTTCATGTCTGTTTTTGTGCCAGTACCATGCTGTTTTTATTGTTATTGCTTTGTAATATAGTTTGAAGTCAGGTATTGTGATACCTCCTGCATTGTTCTTTTGACTGAGTATTGCCTTGGCTATTCGTGGCCTCTTGTGTTTCCATATAAATTTCACAGTAGATTTTTCAATCTCTTTAATGAATGTCATTGGAATTTTGATGGGAATTGCATTAAACATGTAGATTACTTTGGGGAGTATCGACATTTTTACTAAGGACATTCTTAAATTTTTTTTTTCTAGTACTGGGGTTTGAACTCAGGGCCTTATACTTACCAGGCAGGTGCTTTACCACTTGAGCCACATATCCAGCCCTTTTTGGTGTGGTTATTTTGGAGATGGGGTCCTCCTTTTTGCCTAAGCCTGCTATGCTCCTATTTTAGGCTTCCTACCATGATTGGGATGACAGATGCACACTACCATGACTAGCTTTTGGTTGAAATGTGGTCTCCTGAACATTTTTGCCTGAGCTGGCTTGGACCACAGTCTTCCTGATCTTAGCCTCAGCCTTCCAAGTAGCTAGGATTATATAGGGATAAGCTACTGGTGCCCGCCTCTAAGGCATTCTTTTTTTGGGGGTGGCGACAGTACTGGGATTTGAACTCAAGACCTCATGCTTGCTTGGCAGGTGCTCTACCCCTTGAGCCATTCTGCCAGCCCTTCTAAGATATTTTTAATACTCCTGAATTAGCACGACTTTCACTGATCATTTTCTCAAATATTGAGAAGTGATAAACCTCTTCTACCTATATTCTGTCACACGTAATTATTGTAGCTGCTTTTCATTGTGTGAAGGAATGGACCATTCTCTGTTTACAGGTGATGTATTTAGTTGTTTTTGTGTTCTTCACATGTCACTGGTCTTTTTTGTTTGTTTGTTTTGTGGTGCTGGGGATTGAACCCAGGGCCTAATGCATGCTAGGCATGTGCTCTACCACTGAGCTACATTCCCAGCTCTGTTTTTTTTTCTTTAGACTAAATTCTGGATGCCAGTAACTGTCAATTTTCTCTTTGTATGGTACAAAGAGAAACAGCGATGACCAAATGAGACGTATGTTTGATTGTATTTTCGGAATGATCTAGGAGTTAAATACAGCCTGTTTTCCTTTATATTTCAAAATAAATTTTTTCAACCAGCTATTTAAAACCTTTTTCAGATTCACTAAAATAAACGTGCACACTAGGGAAACATGCTTGATTTGATTTTTCAAATATTTTCAAATGTGAAATTATTCTTTGTCCCTAAATATGTTTGTTTTGTATTCTTTCCCCACAGACTCAAAAAAATGCCTCAGTCAATGCCAGAATATGCTCTGACTAGAAATTATTTGGAACTTATGGTGGAGCTTCCTTGGAACAAAAGTACAACAGGTGAGCAAAGAAAGTAACAGTTTTCAGTCTAGTTGTCACTCAGTAAGCTTATGTAAATTCTCACTTCAGATGGCACAGCCAGTGGTGAACTCCTGGAATCCCACCCTCAGGAGGATCCTGAGTTCTAGGCCACCTGGGCTACATTGCCAGACCCTGTCTCAGAAACCAAACAAGTGAAAAAATTCAGATGTTTCTACTTGACTATCTTATTATTAAAATAGTTTTTAAATTTTTTTTGAAACCACTTTATGGTTTCAAAACCAAGGTATAATTGGCATATAAGAGCTGTTAGACAGAAGTTTGGAATAAGAATATACCCATAAAACCATTGTCACCATCAAAGAAATGTATCCATCTCCTCTCAGAATTTCCTCCTGCTCAGTGTAGTAACAGTTAGTAGAGTGTGTGTGTGTAAAATCTAACCTCTTAGTAAATTTTAAGAAAACAAAGCATTATTGTTAGTATAGGCCTTATAGGCGATCTGTAGAACTCATTTATCTTACATAACTGAAACTTGGTACTATTACCATCATCTCCTCATTTTCCCCTCCCTTGAGCCCTGGCGACCACCATTTTACTCTGCTTCTATGAGTTTGATTATTTTGTGTTTCACTTAGCATAATGTCCATCTGTGCTGCTTAAAGTGGTGGGATTTCTGTGTTTTTTAAGGCTGCATAATATTCAATTGTATGTATATACCACATTTTTTTGTTTATCCTTTCATCTGTTAACAGACATTAACATGGTTTCCATATCTCAGCTGTTGTGATGAGTACTGTAGTGAACATGGGAATGCAGACATCCCTTTGAGATCCCTATTTTAGTACTTAGAAGTGGGATCGCTTGATCTTATGGTATTTCTGCTTTTAATTTTTGAGAAACCTCTATACTGTTTTCATAATGGCTGTACCAATTTAAATTCTTACTAACTGTGCAGAGGTTACCTTTTCTCCATTTTCTTACCATCACTTTTTGTATTTATTTTTTTTGCTGGTGGTACTGGGGTTTAAACTTAGTGCCTCACACTTGTGTGCAGGTGCTCTACCACTTGAGCCACTCCTCCAGCCCTTTTTGATTGTGTATTTTTCAAGATAGGGTCTTGCAAACTATTTGCCTGGGCCGACTTCAAACTGCAGTCCTCCTGATCTCTGCCTCCTGAGTAGCTAGGATTACAGGTATGAGCCACCAGCGCCCAGCCTATACTTTTTTAAATAGCCATCCTGACAGGAGTGAGATTTGTTTGTTTGCTTTTCTTTCTTTCTTTGTTTCTTTTTTTTTTTGGAGATAGGGTCTTACTGTGAATGCTAGACTGGCTTCAAACTCAATCCATCTGCCTCTACCTCCCAAGTGCTGGGATTACAGGGAGGAACCACCATGCCTTGCATGAAACAATAACTCACGGTGACTTGTGTGCTGGGGAAGTGCTGTACCATTGTGCAACATCTCAGCTCCTCACTGTGGTTTTGATTTTCATGTCCCTGACGATTAGTGATTTTAAACACCTTTTCATGCACTTGTTGGCCATTTGTGTGTCTTCTTTGGAGAAATATCTGTTCTGGTCCTTTGCCCATTTTTTAATCAGGCTTTTTGGGTTTTTTTGCTGATTGTGTGTATGTGAGGTCATGGTATACTTTGGATAGTAGCCTCTTATCAGATACATGGTTTGCAAATATTTTCTCTCTTTCTATGGGTTGCCTTTTCATTTATTGATGGTTTGCTGTGTCTACAGAAGCTTTTTAGTTTAACTCATTCATTTTTGCCCTTGATGTCTTACTTTTGATATTGCATCCTAAATGCTGCCAAGGCCAATGTCCTGGAGCTTTTTCTGTATGTTTTCTTCTGTTTTGAGTTGATTTTTGTGAATAGTGTAAGGTAAGAATCCAGTTTCATTCTTCTGCATCTAATACCCAGTTTCCCCAACATCGTTTACTTTCTCTATTGTGCATTCTTGGTGCCCTTGTTGAAAATTAGTTGACGTATATGTTTGGGCTTATTTCTGGGCTGTCTGCTCTATTCCATTGGTCTTAATGTGTATTTTTATGCCAAAACCATACTATTTGATAGTTATAGTTTGTGATGTCATGTCATATAGTTTGATGTCATATAGTTTCTTTGTCCATGTCAGGTAAGGTGATGCTCCAGCTCTGTTCTCCTTGCCCAAGAGTGCTTTGGCCATTTGGGGTCTTTTGTAATTTCATATGAATTTTAGGATCCTTTTTTCCATTTTTGTTTAAAAGGCCATTGGAAAATTTCCATCCTGCCAACTTACTAATGTCATACTCTACATTAGTTTTTGATATCAATAGGCTGAACTTGAATGACTTAGGACAAGTAGGAAAAAAGAATGCTACATGAAAGTATCTTTTGCCTGATTTTAGAAAAAATGGGACTTTTCTGTAATTGGTGAAATAATATTTTTCTCAATGCCAGTAGTCAGTCAGACAATAAATTTTTATATTTATGTATTAGTCAGGAACAAAAGAAAACTAAACTTTGGGATATTTAACAATAAGTACCAAAAATACACTAAATATTTTTTATGTTCTCCAAAAGAAATAATTACCTGTGAAGACAGGAGGACAATAGGATGAACTTAACCATTGTGAAACTTTTTTCCTACCAGAGCCTATTTAGAGAGTTTAAATTCTTTTTATCCTCCTAGAATTTTTGTTTGTGTCAAGAATATTTAATACCAGCTTTTCTGAGTTTTTCCATATATTTTCTTTGTGGTAAGATATATTCAGTTTTTCTTCTTTGCATCAGTTTTTGTTATTTGTTAATTTTACATACAAGATTTATTGAGTTGAACGGTAGATTTGATTATCTAAACTACTATTGATATAAAAGTATCCATATGGTTGACTTTTAAAAATCACCCAAATTTATTATCCTGCTGATAAAATTTCTACATGAAAAGTAATAGAGACTTCAAAAATGTTAACCCTAAAAATGCATCTGTGCCTTATACAAAATACAAATACCAGATTTCAAGATACCAGTTTTTTTTTTTTCTTTTTTGGTGAGACTGGGGTTTGAACTCAGGGCTTCATGCTTGGAAAGCAGATGCTCTACTATTTGAACCACACCTCCAGTCCATTTTGCTCTGGTTATTTTGGAGATGAAATATCATAAACTATTTGCCCAAGCTGGCTTCAAACCTTGATTTTCCTGATTTCAGCCTCAAGTAGCTAAGATTATAGGCATGGGCCACCAAAGCCTGGCTAAAAACTGATTTCTTTTTCATTGCACAACTGGGGTTTGAACTCAGGGCCTCACACTTCAGAGGCAGACCCTCTACCACTTGAGCCACTCCACAGCCCTTTATTGTGTTGGGTATTTTTGAGATAGGGACTTGCTTTCATTTTGCCCGGGCTGGCCTTGAACCTCAATCCTCCTGATCTTTGCCTTCTGAGTAGCTAGGATTATAGGCATGAGCAATCAGTGCCCAGCAAGGTACTGATTCTTAATATTAAAAAAAAAAAAATACTTCTACTTGTGTTGTATACATGAGGCCCTGGTTTTCTCCCCAGCAACACGAAAGAAAGAGGGGGATAGGGGTTATCCTACAGAAGACCATCATTTCTGACATTGAGAATGTTTATTTTTCTCAAAGAAGGCCTAGAATGAAGTCTATTTGTATTACATGAACTATCTGGGGGTTAAAGTTAAATTGAAAAACAGACCCCTTTTGTTTTTTCTGGATAGGATCCTTTAGTACATTTGTTAGGAAGTATGGCTAGGTAGTAAGAGGAAGTTGGCCTTATCACTTTCCTTTTGTTTTGGCTACTTTTAGATTTTAAGAAATTTGTTAGGCTGGGCACAGTGGCTTTTGCCTATAATACCAGCTATTTGGGAGGCTAAGATCAGGAAGATTACAGCATGGGGCTAGCCTTGGTAAAGAAAGTTAATGAGAACCCATTTCAACAAAAAAGCTAGGCATGGTAGCCTATGTCTGTCATCCTAGCTATGCAAGAAGCTTAAGTAGGATGATCAAATTCCAGGCTAGCCTGTGCAAAAAAACTTAAGACCCTACCTGAAAAATAAAACAAAAAGGACTAGGGTGTGGCACAAGCAGTAGAGAGCCTGCCTAGCAAGCATAAGACCCTGAGTTCAAAACCCAGTATTACCAAAAAAGAAAAAAGAGGAAGGAAATAAATTTGTCTATGCACTTATAAACTGAGGGACGTTTGGGTTTTTCAAAGGTGTTTGAGGGGGAGGTTCCTTTTAAAAATAAAATTGCTATGCTGCTATGAACAGTATTGGCAAATTTATTTCTGATATGTTTCACATTTACAAGTCATGACATGCCTTCTAGTTGAAGAGAATCACTTCTTGGGACTCTGCGATGCCATGTGTCAGCAATAGAGATGTACGGCACCCATGTTCACTTCATAAAAATGTTTCTCTCTGTTTTGCATTTCAGCAAGTAACTGGTAAATTGTGGTAGAAAAGGAGTAAAACTCCTTTTCATAGTTTTTGTTTGTGTGGTGCTGGTGATCAAACCCAGAGCCTTGAGCATGCTAGGCAAACACTCCACCAACAAACTACATCCCCAGCCCTCTTGATAATTTTTGAAAAAGTTTACCTTACTAAGTACAGATCTGAAATACTAAAATCAGAAAGGGAAGAGTTAAAAGGAAATTAGTTTAAAATTAGCCTAAGGAAGAGGAGCTAGTAGATTTTGTTTCGATCTTCCGATTATAAATAGAGAAATTCATGTTCAAATAGGGTTTAATTTTTTTTACTTGTAACCAGAAGTATCATTCAAAATAGGAAGCATGCATTCTGAGTCATTAAAAGGAACAACCAGAAAAATATTGGTAACCTAATATCGAACCATCTTTGCAAAGCTAAAAAAAAATCCCACTGGGATTTATAGATTATTCTTCTAATAAATGTGATTTATTATCAGTTTAATATTTAGAGCTATACAAAATGGGATTGGTATTGAAGGTTTTAATGTTAGGGTTAACATTGAGAAACAATTGGAGAACTTTCTGCCCTGCCAATTTGTACATTCATTGGTCATATTTTGACACCAGGATTCTCACTGAAATCAGTAGTACTATAATTAAGTATGCATTTGTTACTGCCTAACTAGGTTTTTTTTTTCTTTTTTTATTAGTGTCTTCAGGTTTTCTGGAATGAGCATGTATTATTACTGTAATGAAAAAAACCACACCTTTTTAAAAAGGAAAATAATATGAAGGCAAATATGTAGAATATGTAGAAATTATGTGTCCATAAAAAATAATGTGTATCTGTGTACTGGAGAAATAGCTCAAGTGGTAGAGCACCTGCCCAGGAGGCCATAAGTTCAAATCCCAGAACCACCAAAAGAAAGAGAGAGAGAAAGAAAAAAAGAAAGAACGTATATCTAGAAAACCTAAGCCAGGCACAGTGACTCCCGCCTATAATCCTAGCTATTCAAGAGGCACAGATCAGGAGGATCACATTTGAAGCCAGCCTGGGCTAACAGTTTGTGAGATCCTATCTCAAAAATACCCAACACAAAAAAAGGGCTGGCGGAATGGCTCAAGTGGCAGAGTGCGTGCCTTAGCAACCATGAAGCCCTGAATTCAAGCCCCAGTAGTACCAAGATTGATAGATAGATAGATAGATAGATAGACAGACAGATAGATAGATAGATGATAGATAGACAAACAGGTAGGTAGGTAGGTGGGTAGATAGGTAGATAAGATAGCAAAAGCAAAAGAAAATCATTACAAATGAAGTGATATGAGTATGGGGTTTAATTGTGTAGTGCCTGCTATCTCTGGAGATACTAATCTTGAACAGGAAACCAAACCAAGTGTATCTTTAAAGACTCATTGAGAAGTATCCAAGTTTGTTTGTTTGTTTGTTTGTTTATTTTGTGGTACTGGAGTTTGAACTTAGTGCCTTACACTTGCTAGGCAGGTGCTTTACCAATTGAGCCACACCCCAACCCCAAGTCTGTTTTTAGGGACATCTTTTTTCCTAAAAAATATTTTGACTCTTGCCAAGCTTAAAAGGAGTTCTTTCACTTAAAATTCCATGTACTCAAATAGTTTCTGTTGGATTGTTTGGCAGACCGCCTGGACATTCGGGCAGCCCGAATTCTTCTTGATAATGACCATTATGCCATGGAAAAATTGAAGAAAAGAGTTCTGGAATACTTGGCTGTCAGACAGCTGAAAAACAACCTGAAGGGCCCAATTCTTTGCTTTGTTGGCCCTCCTGGAGTTGGTAAAACAAGTGTGGGAAGATCTGTGGCCAAAACTCTTGGTCGAGAATTCCACAGGATTGCACTGGGAGGAGTGTGTGATCAGTCTGATATTCGAGGACACAGGTAAAACACTTCTCAGCTTATCTTTGATTCTGCTTCCCTTTTCATTGACTAGAGCCCTCCAAAAGTCGAGGCATAATATATGTCTATTTCCCTTTAAAAGGGCCTTTTGTGGCCTCTTGATTGGAAGGCACATTTATAAGACTTGATTAGCTAGCCTAGAGCCTTTAAGCTCAATGGTCTACCCAAGTTAACCTTGATATAAGCAATTCACGGTATATCTGGGAAAACCCTGTTTCAGTCTCAAATTCATACACCTTATAAAAGGGACTGATTTTCCATCTCCAACCACCATACAGCATAGCTATGTCATAAAACTCTAAAGGTATACTGGACATTTGTGTGCCTGCTATGACATGTTGGCAAGGAGAAGTAGGTGAAATCTTTGGAGAACAACTAAATGGGTAACTAGTCTGTGCTTCAGCTATTCTAGAGGCTCATTTGAATAGAATTGTAAATTAAATTATGTATGGATGCTATAATGTCTTTACGTTCATTTTGTCCTAGTAGCACTCCATAAACAATAGTCAGTCACTCACTAAGAGTTTAAAAAAATAACTGCAACAGCTAGGACAGATAGGAGAAGGTAAGAATCTTCTTTTTGCTCTACCACTTGACTCATGTTCCCAGCCCAAGAAATCTTTGATAGCAAATTTGTTCTGCCTACAGTTTAAGCTTCCTTTTATGAAGACTGGTTTTTGTGTTATGAACATGAATAATAAAAGGTTAGCATAATTAAGCTTACCCTTGCATTTTGGGCTTACTTTCTGTAAAACTACATTAAGCTGTAAGAACTGTGTCTCTGATTAGTCTACACTATTAGAATTATTTGCCTGTTACACTTGTTTTGTTCTTTGGTCTCTCTGTTAACCTGAGTGGAAGATCCTAGGGAATGCCTAAACCTATATTTCATGGTTTAAGGGTTTCATCACAGTTGCAAGCTGTGAGGAGACATATCTAGAGGGCGTGCATTTTAAAAAATTGGGGAGGGGGTTGTCCCTAGTGATGAAACTCAGTGATAGAGCTAACATGGGTTCAAACCCCAGCATCACAAAATTTAAAATGTAGAAAACATAAACGGCTTACAAAATAATATGATGCATTTTAACATCTTATTTTCCAATTGCTTTATTCACAGATAGAGATGAAAAACTGTTTCAAAAGCTTTTTATGAGAAATGGGTTATTTTATTCTCATTTATTGTTTTAAGTTCTTATGCATCAAAGAAGAATCTTCTGATGTTTTAATAAATAAGCAATGAGGGTACAGATTAGGGCAAGGAATGAATTTGGGTCATTGCTTCTGGCAACTTCAAAAGGTACTTTTGTTCCTTAGACCTTTTTATTCTCCCATGTACCACTAGAGGCTGTAGTTTGCTTTCATAATGAAAGTGGTAATAGTAGTCGTGGGGCAACCATGGAGAATAAATATAGGGCTAAAATGTGATTTTACTCCAAAGCCTTTAGGAGATGTTTCCCATTCAACTGATTTAATTTATACTCAACACTGTTTTAGGTTACTTCTTATCTGTAGAATAGGACAAGGTAGAGCAGTGTAGTGTAGTGTAAGTATTTGAAGGGATTTAGAGAATGATTCTGTAGAATTAATGCTGTGAAGATCTGCTGTACTGGTTGGTACACGACGTCTAGGTAATTTGTCCTTATTTCCTTCCACGTTGACATTGATTATTTTCTAGAACTTTGGAGGTGCTTAGTGCCTTACACAACACAGCCATCCTTAAGCATTAGCTTTACTATTTTAATTTTAAATTTTAAGAAGGACTGGTCTAAATAAATCTCAGTATCACATTTTATAAGTTTAGTCTGGTTTTTAAAATTGCATTCTAAAATACCTTGTCCTCAGCATTGTTATTTAATTTATGTGGCAGAACTATAAAAAAATGTATGTTTGTTGCATAGAGAATGTATACTTAAGGGTCTTGTCACTTCTTGTGAATGTTGTTGGATTTAAAAAGATAACTGTTTTAGATCATGCATATTAAATTTATTTACTTTTTTCCCAAGTAAATATGCCTTCGCATGACTATAATACCACAGCAACCTGCCCTTGCGCTGTTTGGGGATTACTATCCATTTCCCCTCTAAATTATTCTTTTTTTTTTTTGTAACACTGGGGTTTGAACTCAGAGCCTCACACTTGCTGCTTGCTAGGCAGGTGCTCTTACTGCTTTAGCCATTCCACCAGGCCCCTCTAAATTATTAAAACCTGATCAAAAATTTTCTTTGGAAACCTTTTGGAGGTGCATAGAGAGTGAGTGTGGTTGTTAAGGAGCAGAGGGTGAGGGCAGAATGTGCGCTCCAGTCAGAGTTAGGAAGTGAAGGTGACTGGGGAGGGTGGGAAAGAAGAGTAGAGGATTATAGCACAACCATGGGTGGCGTCTATGAGAGCACATAGTTCCATGTGATAGTTGAGGCATTTGCAGAAACACCCAGGTCTTGGTATTTGACTACTAGTCACATGCTCATGGTTAGAGTTCATGAACGGTTTTGTTTTTCCTTAGTCTCTGAGTAGGCATCACTGTTCTGCAGTCTTAAAATAGCCAAGAGAAAACATAGCTGCTTTATGTTATGTCCCTTGCTTATTCTCTATGTTGTCACTCACTCTCCCCGTTTTCCTAGGCCTGGAACTCCAGCCATTTGCTACAAGTACCTGTTTATGTGAAGGAATGTGCTAATTAAGTTGGGAATTGATTTTAAAAACAACTGAAGATAAATATTTTTAGTGTGAAATAATAATGAGGTGGAGATGGAAAAGGAAAAAAGAAAGCGTGGTTTACATCTAAATCTTGAACTGGGGAAATAATAATGATCTGACAAAACATTGGCCCATTGTTTTTCTTCATATTATTTTGAGGGACTTAAAGGAAGAATGGAGTAATGCTTATTAGCTTCATATTAACTCATGCAGCTTTTTAGTCTTCTCAACATTTCTCATTTGGGTTTATGTCCACTGTGATTTTTCTGTTTACCTTATAAGCCACAGAGTACATGATCCTGTCTCTCTGTTTTTACAACTTAAATTTTTGTATTTAAATAATTTAAATCAGTGGCGTAAATTCAGTGTAAACTAACATTTGTTTGTTTGGTTGGTTTTTGGTTTTTTGAGGCAGAGTCTTGTTAGGTAACCCAGACTAGCCTGAAATTCTATGTGTAGCATAGGCTGGCTCAAACTTGTGATTCTCCTATCTCAGCCTCATGAGTGCTGGGATTGCTTAAATAATTTCTTATAGGATGAAGTTTTATGAAACCAGTTTGCATAAATCTGTTTTTTTGTTGGTAAAAAAATACTTTATTGTTACATGTCAAATCACTGTTGATATTAGCTCTTTGGAATAATTTAACCAGCTATTTGAACAGATAACAAAATTATGCCATTGCAAGAAATCTTTGGCTTAGTTTTCAAACAAGATGAGGAGAAAAACAATCTTAGGATTTCCATGTTGATAAATTTTCATACAGTTTTCACTGAAATAGTTAAGTTATAAGTTAGCTGTTTCATTATTCATTTCTACAACGAAAAATAACTGCAGCAGCAGGCTTTAATACATTTCTAGCATAGTACACCAGCTCACTATTCTTAGAACTTGTATTTGCATATAGCCCTTTTTTGCCTCTCTAAAACAGGTTTATTTTAAGGCCCAAACCCCAGCTTCCTCCATTAATGTAGGTGCAGTCAGTTTTGATCTCTCTTCACTATATTGACCATGTATTGTCTACTGTGCTCCTTTAAAGATTAAATAATACACATATCTGGCATTTCTTATGTACATCTGTGGACATAAAACATACGTACAGATTGAGCATCCCTAATCTGGAAATCTGGAATGCTCTAAATCCAAAATTTTTTCAACATTGACATGAATCCCTCAGGTGGAAAATTCCACACCTGACTTCATGTAATACATCTTAGCCAAAATGCAGCTGCACTGAAATATTGTGTAAAATTACCTGCTGCAGCCTATTGTAAAAGGTGTGCATGAAAAATAAATGAATTTTATGTTTACATTTGGGTCCCACTCCCAAGATATCTGAGGTGAGGGGGTGTTATGTGTGTGTGCGTGCAGATATTCGAGAACCCAAAAACATTCAAAGTCTGAAACACCACTTCTAGTCCCAAGCATTTTGGATAAGGGATACTTAATCTGTGTATTAAAAAATCAAACTCTGTTGGGCAGGGAATTTAGTGTATATATTATATTCCTTTTTATCACCCCATGGTGCTTAGTTAGCATCAGTTAGTAAGTGTAAGGTAGGTACTTTCCAAGTGTTTTGTGAATTCATATAAGATTAAGACAGTTGTATTTTTGAAGCCATACAGTACTTTAGATGAGTCTAAATACATACAAATTAGCCTATAAAAAGATTTAGGAATGACTGCTAGGACAGCAACAATTGGATTTGTATAGACATATTAACATCACAGTTCTTTGAAGACTTTTCTTCTTGAGTCATTAAATTTTCTTTTAGACTTAATACTTTTTCTAGTTTTAGATGTATATGCACACACACATACACACAAACCTCTGGGTAGAAAGTTTAAAAAACAAAAAATGAAAGGAAAATCTTCATGTTTTTCTACCATATGAGGATTATCATGTTAAGTTTTTATTTCTTGTCCACCAGACTTTGCACTAGGCATCTTTTGCCTGTTTTTTTTTTTTTAAGCAATACAATGTAATCCTACCCTTTCCACTTAACATTATAGTGCATAAACTTTTTAATATTATGAAGTTTTGTAAATATAATTTAGTTATATGCCTTATAGACTATGAGAGCTCTTAAACAGGAAGAATTGATGATGATGCATCCTTTCCTCATTTTTAGATATTATCTGCAATAACATGTTGACCAGGCTTTTGTATTACACTAAATTTGAAGATACCTAGGTATGGAGCAGAATATTAAGACCGTTGATTACCATGGAGCTGTAAATAGATGATACTGTAATTGTCTATGGTTGTTTCTTGAAGTATAGACCAGATTAATTTTTGGAAAATGAAAAATACTCATTATTTAAATTTCTGAACTATACAGATTGTTTTGGTTTTGTGTATCTTATATACTAGTTGAATAGTCCTGATAAATCTATGAATTGCCTGCAGCAATTATAAGAAAATGTGAATTGGCATATTTTTTTCTTCTGATGTAATAATTTTGCTATATAGACTTAAATCCATTTGGAATATTTTAATTTTTCTTAATGTAAATTAATTGTACAAAGGGGTTTTGTGATACTTCCATACATGTGTACAATATACTTTGATCAAATTCACCCCTCTATTATACTTTCTTAGCCTCTTTCCATCCTCCTTTTTTGAAACAGTTTTTAGTGGGTTTAATTATGCAATTTTTCATACTTAATAAAGTGAACTTTGATCATGTTCAACTCCCCAAAACCCTCTCCTTTTCCCCTCCTCTCTCTCCCTGGTTCCCCCTACCAAACAGTTCCCCTTTTACACTCAAGGCCTATTAACATTTTAAATTTTAATTTTTTGTACATATTAATCAGGTCCCGTATAATTTTCTATAGAACTCATATGTTTTATTTTATTTTTTATTTATTTTTTGGCGGTACTGGGGTTTGAACTTAGGGCCTCATATTGTTAGGCAGGCACTCTACCACTTGAGTCACTCTGCCAGCCCCTTTTCTGTGTTGGGCATTTTCAAGACAGGGTCTTGTGAACTATTCGCCCTGGCTGGCTTTGAACTAAAATCCTCCTGATCTCTACCTCCCTAGTAGTTAGGATTACAGGGGGTTGAATCCAGGGCCTTGCAAATGCTAGGCAAAGTACTATACCACTGAACTACAGGCAGAATTCATACATTTTTAAGTGAACATGTTTACTTCAATTTTAGGAAAAAAATTCTAGATAATTACACATTCATACTGAATAACATAAGTCAGTGATGTGATGGGTTCTGTATAAACTGTATTATGCAATGTTCCTTTCCAGATGTGATATTATGAGAAAGTAAAATATAGAAAAGACTAGTATTTTCTCCTTAAGAAAATTGTTTGTAAAAAGTACCACTTTCATTTATTTCCTACCTGTGTGACTCCTCAGAATTTTTTTTTTTTTTTGCAGTGCTGGAGCTTGAACTCAGGGCCTTCTCCTTGAGCCACTCCACCATCCCTTTTTTGTGATGAGTTTTTTCGAGATAGGGTCTCGCAAACTATTTCCCTGGGCTGGCTTCAAACTGCAATCCTGCTGATCTCTGCCTCCTGAGTAGCTGGGATTACAAGTGTGAGCCACCAGTGCTCAGAATGTTTTAATATGTGAATTTATTAACTGTTGCAGTTGTTTTGTGATATTGGAAGATAACATTTTTATTTTGTGTATTACCACATTTTTCACTGTCTGCTTTCATATTCCCCAGGTTTATTCAAATTATATTGTGTATCTTCAGTCAGTGAATTATATGCTGCCATCACTTTTAGCCAAAGATTGTCCTGAGTAGAAAAACATGTGCAAATAAATTCAGTATATATAAGATACTGAATACTGGATTGCTAGGGTGGTTTCTAGAAGTTTTTCTCTTTTATAAACTAGAGCATGTGCTGTATCCTTCCATTAAATAATCAGTTATCTAACTAGTTAGTAGTAAGTCAGTGTTTATTTTCTGTGATCTTAGAAATGTACTTGACAGTGAGGCTCAAATCATTGGACAGTAAGTCAAACCTACCATCTTGTTTAGACTCAAAATATCAATAAAAGGTGGCAAATTCAGGTATTGCTTCATGTGGTGTTCTTTACTTTTATGTGAATTCTTTTTCAGGAGCTCATGAGCTTTGTGGTGATGATTATCTTTGTGGCTTGACCTAGACTAGTGGCATACATTTGGGAGATGTCACCTGTGACTGAGGAACACTAAGGACATTGAGTAGGCTTGGCACTATAAAATGTCATTTGTGAGAGTTGCTTTCCTGAGACAGATTCTGAAATTGCACTTAAATTCAGGCGTACTGATTAATAACAGTTAACATTGTTTGAAAGCTTACTGTGGGCTACCTGAGGCTGTATACTTTACATAAGTTCTCTCATCCCCGTATAACCCATGAGATTGGCACTGTTATCCCACTTCATAGATGGGAAAATTGAGACTTAGGTCAAGTTATTTGTCCAAAGTAGCATTCAAAGGTTCATGTCACCTAAACAGTGGTGATAGATGTTTTTGGTAGCCTCTGGTCAGTCTGGTAGAGAAGTGTTACAACTCTATAACCACCACCTACTCTGCATTAAGACTTGAACTCTGTCATCAAAGTGTTCACTGGCTCATTAGAGAAGGTTATAGTACCCATGAGTAAAAACTAGGTCACAAGTAATCATTGGGTGAATTGTAGGGCCAGTAAATGCTGTGGGCATTGTATTACCAGAAAGATCACCGCGAGAAGAGGTCAAGAAAGATTTCTTAGAATTGTTAGGAATTACATAGGCAAGAAGAGTAAGGGCAGTGTTTTAGTCAGTTTTTTTGTCACTGGGACAAGCAGCTAATGAAGAAAAGTTTATTTAGCTCACAGTTTTGGAGGATAAAAGTCCAAACAGCATGGGCTTCCCTTTGGCTGCATCACTTCAGAGGAGCATGGGGAGAGTAAGTGATTACATCATAAACAGGAATCCAAACAGTCAGATGGAGTCAGGCTTGTTCCTTTTAGAACATCCCTCTCCCAAGAACCACTTTAAAGACCATGAGAAATACCTTCATCCCTTTGGATGTCTCCTAATACCATCAACCTTGGGCCCCCCACCCAGCCTTTACCACATGGACCTTTAAGGGACTCTCAAACCATAGCTATACCATAGCAGGCAGGAAGCACTGTATTAACAAAGGCTTTAAAAAAAAAAGACAAAACCAAAAGATTTTGATTGTGGATGAAGCAAAAGTAATGGCCTCAATTGGAGAAAGCTGGTGGCTAGATTGTGAAGAGCCTTCAATTGTAGACAAAGGAGTTTGAACCTGTGCTGTGAGCTCTGGGAAACAGTGGGAAGTTGAGGACTTGTTTGCAGTGACTACTGTCTTGATTGCCACTTCTCTAGAATACTATTTTTTCTCCCTGACTTTAGGTCTAAAATACCTGATTTTGAAATCTTCTTAACAAAAAATGGGAAGTAAAATTAGATTGATTACTGCAGCAAGAAATGATCCTCAGAGGTTTTGAGTTCAAAAGAATTTTCCCTTCCCTACCACTCTTAAAAATCAGAGTAATGACATGTGTAGGTTCTCTAAAAAAATAATTTGGAAGAATATTAATTTTGCATTTCACCCTTTCTGTATCCCATTCTGAAATCTTGCATATGCTAACTCGTTATTGTAATGAGACAATGTTCATTGTATCTGGCCACCTTCCCTGGATGAAAGGCATTCCCACGATATTTCTCAGGCTTTCTTGTGTTTTCAAAGGTCATCCTTTTTATTCTGTCCTACTTTACAGTCATGTGACAGAATTGAGACTTGCTCTGTGACCGGCTGTGCAGATGGGGAGATAACTGCTGCTGCCCCACTCCTATTGGTCATTTCTTTCAAGCAGCTAGTGTCTTAGGATCTTTTAAAAGCAGCATTTGCTCTTACAGCAAGGTTGTAGTTAAAATTACAAATTTGTTGCTTATAATAAAATTTGCCAACTTTTTTTAAAAGGCACATGTTTAATAGGCATGCTTGTTTTATTTTATGACACACTGTACATCTGTCATAGTTACAGGAATGATTCTTGTTCAAGGATAATAACATAGCCTCTAACATTTTAAAGCTCTGCAGAATATCTGTCAGAACTTGGTTATGCCACAGATGCAAAATAGTAGAATTTTGATGTAAATGCTGTGGCCTCGAACCCTCTTACTATGATTAGTGGATTTGAAAATTAAGGAGTTTGGAAATTTTTTTGTTCTATGTTCTGAGTCCCCTTTGTACAAATTTTAATCTCCTTCATGAAGGTATCTTAGCTAGTCCTGGAGCAGTTCCTTCAGTATGTGAGATGGTGGTTGTGTTAGGACAGGAGTGAGCTCTGAAAAACCATGAACACTATGGGAGTTAAATTCATAGGGCCCTTTAACATTTTGGAATCTTGAAGAGCATGAACACTTAAATGTGGTGTTTTCCATTTTACTAAATGGCAAAATGAGATTCATTTCTTCCAATTTCATAGGTAACTTGCAGCCAGAATTTAGAATAAGAATTAGGTATGATAACTTTTTGATGTATCATAGTGCCTTTAAATGTGTAGCAGCTTCTTGCTGTGTTGTAGTGATAACTGAAGTTTGATTTCTCAATGGTGGATTGCCTCTAGACCCTCACTGCTGTGAATTTGCTGCTTCTTTCTGTAGGCGCACCTATGTGGGCAGTATGCCTGGTCGCATAATCAATGGCTTGAAGACTGTTGGAGTTAACAACCCAGTGTTCCTGTTGGATGAGGTTGATAAGCTGGGAAAAAGTCTACAGGGTGATCCTGCAGCCGCTCTGCTAGAGGTAAGAACCAGAAAATCTCTGTTTACCATCACCCTTGAAGAGTACAAATGAGAGTGGATCATATTTGAGTAATATATACATTTGAATAATATACACATTGGTCTATGGTTAGTTATGGGAAAAATAGTATGATACAGGGACCAGGAGTGGTGGCTCATGTTTGTAATCCCAGCACTCAGAACTCAAGAGGCAGAGAAGGGAGTATCGAAATTCGAAGTCACCCAGGGCGAAAGAGTTAGCAAGACCCTATCTCAGAAAACAAGCTATCACAAGCCTGTAATCCTAGCTACACAGAGATAGAGGCAGGAGGACTATGGTCCAAGGCCAGTTGAGGGGAGGAGGGGAGACCTTAGCTGAAGAATAAACCAAACCACAAGGGTTGGGGGGCCTGATTCAAATAGTAGAACACTTGAGTCACGTAGCAAACACAAGACCCTTGGTTCAAACACCAGTACCACCAAAAATTATGAGACATAGAGATTTCTTTCTTTTTTTTTTTTTTTTTTTTTGAGGGTCTTGTTATGTATCTCAGGCTCATCTACAACTTGAGATCTTCCTGCCTCAGTCTCCCACGTGTTGGGATTACAGAGGCACGCCACCACACCCAGCTTGATTAACTGGACATGGGGTTCATTCCTATAATCCCTCTCAGATCCTTTCTGCTGAGGCAGAAGGTGTGTAAGTTTAAGACCAGTATGGACTATCTAAAAAAAGTTTGGCAGTATTTCTGTTTCTTGATTTTTCATTTTGGGCACTATCTATAGATTTTCCTCTATAGGAGATAAAGATTTTGCCTTTTTGTTCTTCTATTTGTCCCACTTACCTTAATTTTTATACCCCAAATATTCTATGATAAATTTTATCCTTTTTTGTCACTGAGTGTTTATGTTCACATGATTGTATCTGTGCTTCTCACAGCTGATCCATGTGGTTAACATGGCACTTTTCCTTTCCTGTTCTTCTTTTTGTTTTTCATACTTGCATTTGAAAATCTGCTTGTCTTATTTTTTCTGTTTACTTTCACCATTTATCTCATTCTCCTCTCAGGACACTCAGGTACTTCGAGTGTCCTATCAGTTTTATCTTCTTTAAACTTCCAATTTGAACCAGTTCTTTTCTACATCTGTGCTAACTTCCTAGGATCTCCCTTTACCTCCCACCATGTTGAATTTCCTATCTCTCTCTCTCTCTTTATTTCCTCATTTTTGTGTTGTTAATCCCCCAATAGCTTCCTGAGAAAGCTTGCATGGGTAGTAAATGTTTTTAGACTTTGCATATCTGAGAACATCTTCATGTTTCCCTCATAGTTGATTTGTAGTTTGAGTGGGTATAGAATTTTAGTTGGAAATAATTTTTCTGCAGAATTTTACTTTATCTCCATGGCTTTCTGGTTTCCCTTATTGCTGTTGATAAGACTGAAGTCATTCTGTTCCTATCCTGTTTTATTCTCTGAAAACTTTTAGAAGCTTTCTTTTATGTGTTGTGAAATTTTACAATAACCTGGCTTATCATAACTCTCTTCATTATTTTTGCTGATGCTTTAGAGATTTCTTACAGCTCCCAGTTAGCCACCTGATTACAAAGTATGCTACTATGTGTTGTATTGCTAAGCTATGAAGTTTACTTAGTTAGGCATATTAAATGCATTTCCACTTAAAATAATTTCAATTTATGATGGGTTTATAGAACATAACTCCATTGTAAATCAGGGAGTATCTTTACTTTCAGTATAGGTTCTAAAAAAATCAATTGGCAAAATAAATGCTTTAAATAATGATGTTACAAGAGAAGTGTAGGTGAAGGTACATGCTCATTTTCTTCCTTTCTCATGCTACCATCTCAAATAAGGGGAAGACAGTGACTGAATGATTGAACTAAACTAAATTAGGGAAGTGGGGCCTACTAATTGGTATGTCTCAGAATTGGCAACCCTTCTTACCAGTGCCTCTTGCTTTTCTTTTTATATCCTCTCATTTTTTGTCTTTCTTCCCTTCCTATTCACCTATCCTCTTTCTCACCATACATAAGCTGCTAGTGGGCTGTGCACTGCCCTCCAGTCCTTCACTCTATTCCTAACCAAAATTATTGTTTCTCATTTCTCTCTATCAAACAATCCTACTAGTAGAGTTCAATAGTGACCAGATTGTGTGATTAAATTTCCATGAAATTTAGTTTTGGAGTAGAGTGGGGGAATTACTGTTATGGACCTGTGACTAGCTAATCTTCAAAGCTTTTCTTTTCCCTCTCTACCATACTCAAAGATGCTATATCATAGAATCTTTGGGCAAACATATGCCTCAAATCCTGCTACCTTCCTGTCCATAAAGACCTACCAATGGATTCATAGTAAAATACAAAAAGAAAATCACTTGAGAGGAACAAGAATGGGCATTTGAATTAGGATCAATAGAGGCTAGAAGGCAGAGGTGTGACACATTCATAGTGTAAAAAGGAAGAATCTGAAGTGATGGGTGTGTTAAGTAGCTCAACTTAATTATTCCATGTTGTCTTCATAAGTCACAGCATCACTTTTTGCTCCATAAATATATACATCTGCAATTTGTCAGATTATAATTTTAAAACTTTCAAAAGAGTAAAAAGACCAGTAAGCATGAGGCCCTAAGTTCAAACCCTGGTATTGCAGAGAGAGGGAGAGAGAGAGAGAGAGAGTGTGAGCAAGCAAGAACACTGGGGTTTGAACTCAGGACCTTGCACTTGCCAGGCAGGTGCTGGACCACTTGAGCCACATCCTCAGCCATTAGTTATTTTTCAGACACAGTCTCACTTTGGTCAGGCCTGCCTCAGACTGTGGTCTTCTATGCTCCCACACAGCTGGAATTACAGGCATGTACCACCACACCCACCCTGAAACAACCTTACATGCAAAACAAAAAAAAATTCAAACATGAAAGTAAAGCAAAAGGAGCACAAGTGGGGTCGGAGCTGCAGCATGGACTCCTCAGAGCCCTGCAGGTGTAGGTGTGGCTGTGCCAGCAGGGCTGGCTCTTGTCTGTCGCTGGGGTAGGGGCCTTGCCTGATGTGGAGGACGTAACCGGTACATTTGTGAGGCCCTGGCTCCATTCCTCTCACCTATGCTGTTTTACCTATGGACTTGGACCCTGGGAAGTGCAGCACACCACAGGCCAGTGTTTGTGAAGAACAACCTAAGCAAGACACTTAGAACAGCATCTCACACAGGAAAAAAACAAGCAACAGGCCTCTGGTCCGCAGGCACACCACCCACTGCTGGCCACAGGAGGGCTCCAGCACCAGACGCCAGCTCCAAACCTGCCTAGGAGATGTAGACAAACAGGATTGGATGCTAAATGAGTAACACCAGAACTACTAACATTGTAATTCTACTGTTCCTGAGCTGGGGATTTTTTTTCTCTTTCTTTTTTCCCCTTCTTCCTTGGTTTTGTTAGTTTTACTACTGTAAGTTAGCTAATACTAAATTACACATAGACTAGGGACAGAAACAGTACCAAATGGAAGGTACTGGATGGGAAGATGGAAAAGGGATGGAAACCATTCTCCCCCCCAAAAATAAATTAGTACAGGATTCAGAGGGAAATGAAGCAAACGGATACCCAGATCCAGACTCCAGCAAAACAAAGATAAATTATACCAAGGAACCCAACAAAGCCCACAAGAACATCCTGAAAGAAGAAATTCTGCAAGTAATCAATGAGAATTTCATAGAGATGTTACTAGACATGGTCAACGAAAACGTACAGGAGGCACTCAAGGAATTCCAAGACAACAAAAATAAAGAATATGAGAAAACACAAAAACAAATAAATGAAATCATAGGAGCCCTAAAGAAACACCAAAGTGAAACAGAAAACACCATAAATAGAGAGTTAAATGAATTAAGGACGAAAATTGACAATATTAAAGAGGAAGTGACCCATGGTATGGAAAACCTCAGAAAAAAGAATGAAGCAGAAATACAAAACAAAATGGAAGGCCACTCCAGCAGACTAGAACAAGCAGAAGACAGAATCTCAGAACTTGAAGACGAAATGATAATTAAAGGAAAAACTGAAAAACTATTAGACACTCAAGTCCTGTGAAAGGAAGATGCAAGAACTCACTGACTCCATCAAAAGGCCAATCCTGAGAATCATCGGCATTGAAGAAGGAGAAGAGGGGCAAGCAAAAGGAATTAGTAATATATTCAACAGAATAATAACAGAAAATTTCCCAAATCTAGAGAAAGTTATGTCCATTCAGGTACAGGAAGCCTCCAGGACACCAAACAGATTGACGAAAATAGAACTACCCCATGACATATTATCATTAAAACAACAAGCACAGAGAACAGAGAAAGAATATTGAAGGCTGTAAGAGAGATAAAACAATAACATACAAAGGTAAACCCATCAAAATCAGAACAGATTTCTCAATGGAAACCTTAAAAGCAAGAAGAGCATAGAGTGAGGTCTTCCGGACACTGAATGAAAATAACTTCAACCCTAAGATACTCTACCCAGCAAAACTACCATTCTAAATAGATGGAGCAATAAAAGTCTTCCATGATAAGCAGAAACTAAAACAATATATGACCACCAAGCGACAACTACAAAAGATTCTTCAAGGAATTCTGCACACAGAAAGTGAAAGCAAACAAAACCATGAAAGGGCAGGCAATACCAAACCTCAGGAGAAGAAAAAGCAAGAAAGTAGAGAGTAACATTGATTCAGCTGCACACAATCAAACCCTTAAACAACAAAGACGACTAAACGACAGGATTCACCACATATCTATCAATACTAACACTGAATGTTAACAGACTTAATTCCCCCATCAGAAGACACTGCTTGGCAAACTGGATTAAAAAGGAAGATCCAACAATCTGCTGCCTACAGGAGACCCATCTCATCTACAGAAATAAGCACTGGCTTAGGGTGAAAGGCTGGAAGAAGATTTACCAAGCCAATTGCCCCCAAAAACAGGCAGGGGTAGCAATACTTATTTCGGACAAAATATACTTCAA